AAAGTCTAGATTCAACTCTCAGTCTTGCTGAGATGAACTATGTGACCCTTACTTCTTTGAACCTGTTTTCCTATCTACAAACTGGAGTAACATAGTTGTAAGGATTCCTTCCCCCAATCTGAGTGAGAGTCTGTCCCCCAGAGGGCAAGGCCTAGGCCTAATTCTTCTCCTTGTGACCTTGTTTTGGAGCAAGACTGCAGATGAAAAAGCCTCAGCAAATGCTCGGGATGGATGATGGGTGGGTAGAGGGAGGATGGGTAGATAGTGAGTAGGTGAATAGATGGGTGAGTGGGTGAGGGATGGGTAGATGTACCCAACTCCATGAGGTGCTCCACAGCTTAGCAGGGAAGGGGCAAGGGACAGCTGATGTGATCATCTCAGGTCACCTCTTGGCAGGTCCTTGGTCAGGGTGGCAGCTCCTGGAGGAGTGCCCTTTGGGATATACTCTGGCTTTGACCCTGCAGGGGGCCCACCCATGAAGGTTCTTTCTGTCTCAGGTTAGCCAGGTCCTTACCTAGAGTGTGGGGAGAAGAGGCCAAGCCCCTCAGCCCTGTCGGGATGGAACTGAGAGGGGTGGGCGTGGCACCCTCTGGCCCAGGCAGGCACCACTGGGTGTCACATCATAGACTCCTGTTGAACCCAAACTGCCGCACCTCCCGAGCCTGCACCTGGTGACACAGGGAATTCTGTGCTGCTCTCAGGGCTGCAGTGTTGGCATCCTCCTGGTCACAACAAGCACCAGGAAACAGGGGCCCTGCCTCATTCCAACCATAACTCCTCTCTTCCAGAATCTTGGTCAACATGGACAACAACATCATCCAGCATTACAGCAACCACGTGGCCTTCCTGCTGGACATGGGGGAGCTGGACGGCAAGATTCAGATCATCCTGAAGGAGCTGTGAGGCCTGCGCTCCATACCTCAGAGCCTGGGGGAAGCTTAGGCCTGGAGCCTGCGGGGAAGCAGCCTCGCCACACGCAGCCTGTCCATGTGCCTCAGCGCTGTTACTTGAATGCTTCCTCCAGGGGACTCACAGATGTCAGGGCCAGGAAGCAACCTTGGAGGTCCCCTGGTCTGAGCCCCATCTGTGCTTGAATCCAGTCCTGGAGCTTCTGGCCAGCACCGCCCATCTAAGGCAGTGCCTTTTGCCATGGAACCCACTGTCTGACTCCTCCTCACGTGCCCTGTAGGCTGCCTGGGAGGTGAAGCCCGCCAGCTCAACTCTGCTCCCTCCTCCATTCTGGATTCCTCCACCCCTCAGACCAAGGATTTCTCACCCTTTGGTCAGCGAAGGACTTTTGAAAGACACTGTAGTGGAAACAATATTGTGTTCATTGACTTCTTCAGTGCAAGATGTAAATAACAGAGCTGACTGGAACAAAGTGACCTCCCTAGAAAACTATCACCTTGCCACTCACTGTTGTACACATTTCTTATTTACAATTTTATGTTATATATTATATAAGTATATATTGTATATATATATGCAACATTTTGTATTTTTCATGGATACATTTTTATCATTTCAAAAAGTGTGTATTTCACATCTCTTGGACTATTTTTTTTAGCTGTTAATCAGTTATACATTTTGTATACTCATAGTATTTAGTAATAAAATCTTACCTTTGTATCAGTTACACGCTGCATCGCTCCTTTTGAGTTTCTGGCGGGAGAGAGGAGGGCGGGGTGAGGGAGACCTCTCCTTTCTCTCCACCCCATTGTGAAGGATGGGGGTACCTGTGAGCTCTCGAAAGCCGAGGCGCCCACTCTGTTTTGTTTTGTTTTGTTTTTTGGTACCAGGGATCGAACTCAGGTCCTTGCGCCTGTGAGGCAGGTAGCGGAACCACTGAGCTAAATCCCCGGCCCCAGGCACCCACTCTGGCAGGCAGCAGAATCTGAATGTGGTCCCAACAAGGCCAACTTAACTACCTTAGGATCATTGACTCTGACATACAGGTCTAGAAAAGGCCAGAATGGCCATGACCTCACAACCTGGGGTCAAGGACCTCACAGCTGGGGCCAGTGCACAGAGCCCAGGGCTGGAAGCCATGAGACTTGAGTCTTGGGCCAACTCAGCCCAAAGTCCTACTCCCCAGGCTGTCTCTTTCCCTGGAGATGGCTCTTCCTGGGTCCTAGTGTGAGACCTAACTAACTCCATTTTAAAGTTTGACTCCATCTTAAATATAAGACAGTAAAATGGCCTTGACATAACTTCCACTTCACTGAAGTCAACTATTCCCCTAGTCTCCTTTGTGCCCATAAACTAATGATAAAATGTCCTTGCTGTGGGACAACAGATTAAAAAAAAGACACAGCTCCTAACTCAATCCTCTGTCTGTCCAGAAAACAGATGCTCCCAGGCCCATTATCTATAGAACATTCTGTCAATGTGCTGATTGTTCCTTTTTCCCATAAACTCTACATGTAGCCACCCCTCAAGCCCCCATGCTTGCTAAATATCTGCTTGCTAAATATCAACCAATCATGTAACTGCTAAATGGAACATCCCCAAACCTTGCGGTAGCCACAATAAAAACCCTGCTGATTTGGAATTCGGGGCTCTCAATCCTGATCCGCTGCGTCGGTGACGATTGAGTGCCCCTGCTCGAGCTTGAATAAACGACCCTCGTGTGTTTACATCGGAATCGGCTCCTTGATGGTCTTTGGGGACTTCGCGATCTGGGCACAACACTAGAAGTTACTTTGCATCTCTTTTCATGGCTTCATGTTGGGACATTGAAATCAGCCAGGGTAAAAGTGTTTAGGCCATGGATACTGAAAAGTACTATAAATCAAGCCCTTTATTTCCCCTAGAGAACAACTCACAAATCAGTGCTTGCTTGCTTGCTTCCTTCCTTCCTGGCTTCCTGGCTTCCCACTGCTCCATCCTGTCCTCTTTCTTTGGCTGTAAAGGCACGGTGTGCTCTACATTGGTTGTGGCTATCATCTCTAGTGCCTCGGTTTCTGCGCTGGGCCTGGGAGCCCCATAATGTGAGGGAGGGGACAGCACCCTGAGTGCCTCCCTGGCTTCAATCCCAACAGCTTTGCTTTGTAAATATTAGGGTTTCTTATAAATGTTTGTCTGAATTAAACTTTTTATTTATTTATTTTTTTGGTACTGGGGATCGAACTCGGGACCTTGCATTTGTGAGGCAGGTGCTGGAACTACTGAGGTAAATCCCAGGCCCGAATAAAACTTTTTTTAAAAAGTTTGAAAACTAAGATTCCTATAAAAACCTCCCAGCTTCTAAACAGTCCATAGTCCATAGGCCTTGCCGATTGACAGTGAAACACTAGCCTCAGCCTCAAAATTAAGATGTGCCGAAGAGCTCACTGATGAAATCATATAATAGTTCAATTTAATCTTTTTAAAATCAAGGCAAAGCCTGGATGTGGTGATTTATACCTGTAATCGCATCACCCTGGGAGGCTGAGGCAGAAGGATGGCAAGGTCAAGCCCAGCCTGGGCAATGTAGTGACTTAGCAAGATGCTTGTCTCAAAATGAAAAAATAAAAAAGGGCTGGGGCTGTAGCTCAGTGTGAAGGCCCTGGGTTCAATCCCCAGTACATTAAATAAATAAGGCGAAAAATCCATGATGAATAAAGTCTCAAATTTTTACAGAAGGGGTCAGCATTACCCATACTTCCTTTTGCCTCAGGCTCCGAAATGCCCATGGGACCCTGCTCTGCCTGGCCCAACCCTCACTGCTGCTGTGACATCATCCCAAGTGTCACAGTGAGGTGATGTGTGAAGGTCAGATGATAGGAATGCAGAGCAGCAGGGCAGCAAGTTGGGAGAGAGGTGGGCATCAACATCCTGTGCAGAGCAGCAGGGCAGCAAGTTGGGAGAGAGGTGGGCATCAACATCCTGTGCAGAGCAGCAGGGCAGCACCAGGTATTAGAGTTAATGTTCACTTCCTGCTGTGCTTTCTGCTCAGCTTCCTTCCTGGAGCCAGGAGCCATGTAGGAAACCAGAAGCTGGTGTTTCTCAACTAGGCTTGCATATTAGAATCACCTGGGCATCTTTCTCCTCACTACCCAGGCTCCACCCCAGAGCAATGCATTCAACATTTCTAAGCAGGGACCCAGGCATCCGTACTTTGTGAAGTTCCCTGGCCGATTACAATGTCCAGTCAAGGCTGAGGGCTGCTGATCCACAGTTTATAGTCACACAGGCCTCAAACCTTTGCAACCTCGTGGTGTCTGCTTGGAATATTGCACTTAAGGCATCATCTGCATCTTCGTACAGCCTGCTTCTGCAGAGCTCTGGGAGGGAGCCGGCAGCGTCCCATACTCCTGCATCCATGCAGCCTCCAGCAAAGCTACTGGGACAAAGACAGACAAGGGCAGTGGAGCCTAGAAAGGCCAGTTGGGCCCCAAGGAGAGTCTCATAAGCCTTGAGAAAGTTCCATCCTGCCCTTGTGAAAAGTCAGGGAGGAAAAGCAGCTCCAGAGCCCCGCAGCTGCCATTCCAAGATTATATTTTGCTGCAAAGGGTGAGAAGGTGAAAGGAATAGAAAGAAGGTGATCACTTTGGAAAGGCAGCTGGTGGCTGGTGGGGAGAGCATCACCTGTGTGCAGGTGACTGTCACCCAGTGGATTAGGGCACATGAGACAGCAGAAAGGAATGAATGAGGAAGGCAGGAGGGAGAGAATGACTAAGGGCATGAGAGGAAGGAAGGGAAAGAGGGAGGGGAGGAGGACAGTTGGAGGAAAGGAGGGAAGATAAACAAGCAGATAGATGGACAAATGGAAGCCCAGATGAGGAACTGAACAATTAAGTGTTTTTATTTATTTATAATTTGTGTGTGTGTGGCACTGGGATTGAACCCAGGCCCTTCACACTGAGCTACATCCCCAGCCCTTTTTTTCATTTTTTATTTTGAGACAAGTTCTCTCTAAGTTGCCCAAACTGGGCTTGAACTCATGATCCTCCTGCCTCAGCCCCCCAGAGTGCTAGGATTATAGGATGTGCCACCACACTCAGCTAATTAAGCATTCGTTCAACTCTTGCTACTCTAAGCATAGCCCCTGGACTAAGCTCCACCTGGAGCTTGTTAGAAATGCAAACTCTCAGCCCCCACTCCCAACCTATTGCATTTCAAGATCTCCAAGTAATCAGTACACATACTAAAATTCAAGAACTACTTTATTGAGCTATCTGTGTATCTTAAGCCTAGCTGGCTACATTACAATCACACCAAGAACTTTAATAAAGATACCGATGGCCAATGAAATTAGAACTTTGAGAGCCGGGGCCCCGGCATGCTCCTGAGCTGAGCCTAATAGCCAGCTGGGGCTCAGGGACCTCTGGGCTGGACAGGGATGTGGGTAGCCTGTGACAGCTTAAGAGAGGCTGTGGGCCACAAAACAGACTCTCTGAGCTCAGGGTGTCAGCCTGGCCAGCTGGGCTGTGGAACGTGGATTGTGATTGACTGAGAGCTGCTTGCTTTTCTCTCCCCAGCCCTCTCTCCTGACTCACTTAGAGGAGCTCAGGGAGACACAGTCTTCACTTGGTGGAGCCCTCTGAGCGGCCAGGAGGGTTCATGTAAAGATTTTTCCATCCTACTGACAGTGGCAGATCCGGAAGCCATTGGTTGGGGTTGCTCCAGATACCGTCAGACAGCAGCAGCCCCAGCCCCTGGAGCCCCACCTGTTTCACTCAGAGCATCACTGGCACAGCCCCAGGAACATTGGACCTTGGAGCCCTTGTACTCCTGCCAGAACTTCCCTTCAAGAAAAAGCCACGGGCCCGTGCAGACAGACATAGGAGGCTGCCCTGCCCTTCAATCCAGAGCTCCTGCTCTTGGCAAGGCACTCCAGGCTGCCTCTCATTCATTCCAAGGCCATTGGGGTCTCTTCAAGTATCTAAGAAAAAGGCCAGCTTTTGTGGGAAGCAAGAATTCAGTTTAATTGAATAGAATACCCATCCTTGTCCCTCAGCCTTCCCAAAGGCAAAGCCAGTCAGCAGGAAGTTCTGACAGGAAGGCACAGCTGTGCCACTCACAGTCACAGTCAGGGGGAGAGCGTGGGGAAGTGAGAGCCTGGTGTGGGGGAGCGAGGTGGGGGGGTGTGGGGAGGATGCACAGAGAGCCCCACTGACAGCAGTGCTGGACAACATCAATATTTGGAGAAGGAGAGGATGTGTGGTTAGGTCTATTTCATCTGAGTTCTTTAGTCTTCCTCTTGCAGAAGGGAAAAGATTTGGCAAGTCAGAAGAGATCCATTAAAGACTGACAAACTTGTCAACAAGTCTTCCTCAGACACTGGTGCAGAGGGTCAGCGAGGGGGTAGATGGAGCAGGCGCAGGCAGGGAGGGTTGGGGGTGTCAGCCTGTAGGCACAGGGCACAGGATGGCCTTCCTGCCCCTTGGATTGCTGTTTCTGGGGCCCAAGCTCCACAGAGTGCTGTCATATCTGCTATTGAGGCAGAGCCTGTGAACTTCGCAGCAGCCTCTGCAGCAGTGAGTAATGAGTAAAGGTGAACTAGCTTCCATGTTCTTCGGGAAAGTGCCATGTGAAGGTTCAGGGCGGCTGGCAATACCTTCGAGTGTCTGCCAAGGAGCTGCTGGCCCTTCCTGGCTCTTGGAAATGAGGAAGAGTCTGGAAGCCAAGGGCAGTTGATTGGGTCTGCACCTGGGTACTCTCAGACCCCAGAGACCTGGCCGGGCACCAGGTTTATCGACAGGGAATTTGCCACCAGCTACCTTCATGGAAGATGGACTCTCCTCTGTGGAGTCTGTGCTTCAGGAGTCCCTGGAATCTGTGGAAGAGTCATTCCAGAGCCACCTGCACAGATGACTAGGGAAGTGACCAGGGCCTCTGGCCATTCCTCCTTGCTACTCAGGAAAACACTGGAATTGGCTCTGAGTTAGTCTCCCAAGGCAGCTCGAGACAAGGCCACTTCAGCAACCAGGGTACACCACTGGGCAGGGTGACCTTGTCAGCAGCCACAAACAAAGCACAGGTTCTCCTAGTGAATATCCTGGGGAGCTGGGGTTGGGGACCTGGGAGCTGAGGTTCTCCCTGAGCTCACGTGGCGTTGCTACATTACTGGGACCCATTTGTTGTCCTCGTTGTAGAGGAAGGACTGCTTCCCTGGGTGCTCGGGCTTGTATGTGGCTGAGGAGAGAGAGAGAGATGGTGTTAGGAGAGAAAGACCAGGAGCTAGAGAGCTTTCTACCTCAGAACTGGAAAGGCCAGGGGAACCCTGTTTCAGCCCCTCCATCACACAAGTGTGGAGAGAAGGAGAGAAGAGAGAGGGAGAGAGAGAGAGAGGGAGGGAGAGAGAGAGGGAGGGAGAGAGAGAGAGAGGGAGAGAGACCAGCCTCATATTACATGGCTCTCAACTGGCCTCAGCCAAACTAACACTATGGTTTTCAGCATTCTTTAAAACATTTTAAATTCTTTAAACAGAACAAAATTTATGAAATATTTTTGTACAAAAATCAAAAACCACACTGAATAAAGCAATGTTCTTGAAGAAGCAAGGGGTTATCATGGTAGATTTTGTTTTGATCTGGTCAGGAAATTTCCAGAAAGGTGAAAGCCATGACAGCTGCAAGACATGGTTCTCTAGGGATGAGCAGCCAGGACAAGCAGGCTTGGGGACCACAGCCCGAGGTGATGGGAAACTTTTCTATCAGAGTGACTTGGCTAGTGAGGGCCCCTTGAACGTCTTCTCGGGGAGATCCTAAGGGGAGCCCATGGCTGCCCAGTCTGTCTGCATCCCCTGGAAGCCATGAGGGATGTCACCTTGGTGAAGGTGAGCACAGCAGCAGGAAGCCACCTGTACGTGTGTGCCGGGCACCTCACACTCAGATGAAGCTCCTAGAGCAGTGGTGGCAAACCATTGGTACATGTGCCACAGTGGGCATGCAGAGCCCTCTGTCGGCACACAAGCCAAGTTGTCCCAGCAACCAAGCATTAGATATTCAGGCTTAATTGCAGTGTTGGTACTCTGTGATAAATAAATGGGTTTTGTGTTGCAGTTTGGGCACTTGGTCTCTAAAAGCTTCGCTATCACTGCCTTGAGGACGGGGACAAACAGGGTCAGACAAGGGTCCCCACCTGTTCTGAGGCCTCTGGGAGCTCACTACTTATATGGAAGTGCGCACATTTGCTGGGCTAAATCATGTTCTTGTGGATCAACCAGATGACCTGGGCTGTCTTGTTGGTCTGATTATCAACGCATTTGCAAAGCCCAAGCTACCAAAACTAGGATAATGACTTTCTTCCTGCCCCACTTCCCTGACATTTTTATTACCCATGAGTGTCTCTCCTAACCAGACTGGGGGATGAGCTCTAGCCCTGTCACCTTAGCCCCCCAGGCTGGGAGCATCCTTGGTGCACTATGAAAAGTGGGCATCCCAGCTCTGCCTTCCTCTCCCATGCACCTGCCGCACCTGTCAATCCCCAATGCCACCAGCTCTGGCCATTGTCAGGGAGTGGTAATAGCTAAGGGGAGCTACGGAGAGCTACAAACAGACAGACAGGTACAGAGGCCACCTATGGGAGTGAGCCCCTCACGATGTCAGCTCTCAGGGAGATCCCAGGTGTAACGAGGGCCACTGCTTAAACTCATCTGTAGGAAGGGAGTGGAGCTACACAGCTTTACAGAGCAGCTCCATCGGACAGTGCCTGTTTTCTTCCATCACAAACAAGGCATGAGGAGGAGGGGATGTGCCTAGGCCCTCTGCTGTGCTGCTAAGGCACTTGGAGCTGTGGACATCTCACTATCCAGACCCTCCTCTCTGTAAAACATGTTGGCCAGACTAGGACCAGTGGCTTAACTACTTTTAAGAACAAGAACTTTTCTGACAATCTGATAAAAGTATGGCATTTGCATGCTCCAAATCTGCAGTCTGGAGTCACCGGCCACCCACAGCCCATCTGTGACCTCATGGACCTTCCTGGTCCTCAGTATGAATCCCTGACCCTGATCATCTCTAAGAGCCCTTTTACCTTAAAAAAACAAAATATTTTTATACTCTGAAAATATGAGCTGATAACTCTTCTAAATCTGCTCTCACCCCTGTAAACTATTTGGCAAACAACCTATAAACCAGTGGTGTTTGATGGCACGGGAATGGCAAACAAGTCCAGATTAGGTTTTACAATCATTTAAAACAGTCCTCTGACCTGGGCCAGGGAGGCCTGGCTGGGAAGGTACCATTATCCACCAGCTGGTGTTGGACACAAAGGACGAGCTAGAGACGAAATGCTTGGTGGGCCCAGCGTAGTTCACAGTCTCATACTGACCAGGGCCTGGAAGAGATGGCTTTGGGGGCAGAGGTAAGGGCTGGGCTGAGAAGTTCAGGACGGGGCTTTTCCTTTGGAAAAGACAAAATGGGAAGATGTCACTAAAGTATTCTATTGAGTCAATGCCACCTTTAAATGCAGCCAAGGCCTGCTCAGCATCAGGAGGTCTTCAAGAAACCCAGACATAGCTTGAAGAGACATGAGCCAACCCCTAGCTCCTCTGCCTGTAAGCCCAGGGTCTTTGACTTCAGTTTCCTCCTCAGCACAGTGGTGATCATAGCAGTACCAACCCTTTAGGTTCATAGTCAGGGTTACATGAGGTGATGTACCTGAAACATGGTTCTCAGGACAGGCCTGGCACACAGTGAGAACTCAGGATGTGATAGCTGCAGCTTTGTTGCTGGGCCAATGAGGAGGGGCAAGCAGCACTGATCTCATGTGCTGACTCTTGATTGATTAGTAGTACCTGGCTGGAGCTCTGTGAGATGAGGCCTCGCTGGTCTTGGTGATCCACTTGTGATATCTGCCATGGCCAGGCCATAAGAAAAACCATCCCACCCAGGTCCCTTCTAGCTGTGACCCTCTATCAGGCCTTGATTCACAATTCCACTGGGTTGCTAGGGCCTGCCATTTCCAGATTGTCAGCAGAGTCAAGCTACTCTGCCCACCATGCAGGGCAAGGGCTGCCTCCTCCTGCCTTATTCCCAAAACTTCTTCCAAGGCCTTTCACCAAAGGGGGACAGAAGATTCTCAGAGCACAGGACAACCAGGGAGCCTCACCTTACCTTGAAACAGAGGAGGGAACAGGGGATTCCTGGCCCCTGAGACCCTGCTGCCCTTGGGCTACTATCTTCTGAAACCGAGCCAAGAAATGTCAAGTCAACCTCCTTATTTTGTTAATGAAGTTGTTGTCCAGCAAGAAAAAGTGACACATTCAGATCACAGAGCAAGTTGGTGAGACACTAGAATGCACGCCTCTGGGGCCCAGCAATTTGGAGAAAGCATCATGGCAGAGTTGCCTGAGTTTGAGTCACACAGACCTGAGTCTGAATTCCAATTATGCCATTGCCTGGTTGTGAGACCTTGGACAAGGCCCCTGAATTTTTGTACTCTGTGTCAGTAACAAAGAACAAGAACACTCACTCCTCATAGAGGTGAAATGATAATACAGAAAAGGTATATGAGGCACCTCGCATGGCGCCAGCACACAGAAATTAAATGCCAATAGAAGTAGCAGTCCTTATTATGAACATGTACTGCTTTGCCACAGAGGAGCAACCAAGGTTCAGGAGAGAGAGTTTGGGCCCCCTCATACCAGACTCACCAGAGGCAGGGGACCCTCCTCCGGCTGGAAGCTGCCATAAATCTGCCTGAGGCTTAGGCCTTGTGATGGAGGAACAGCTGGCTTGGATGCTTACATTTAGAACGAAGGTGCCCACAGGAAATGGAACACATTGCTTCACTTCTCCCCGTCCCCCAATCTTTATGGAAGAACCGATGACAGGGTGAAATCAGCAACCTCTCTGCTTATAAATAAGTGCTGGCTTCTCCCTCTTCTGGGTGTGGCTCGCCCTTCAAAGCACCCCCAGAAAGTTGATGAGTGGGTGACTGGCCTCATGGAGAGACCGGCTTAAATGCTGGAATTCAGTGCTAGATGGAGCCAATCAATGTGTTTGGTCACCTGTTAGTCTGGGTCACCTCTCATTCTTTGAGAAATCCATGAGGCAGCCACTTTCCTAACCAGGGCCACCTGGGTGTGGGTACAGCCTGCTGGTCCTGTGTTCCACCGATACTGGCCAGAACAGGCCGAGGGATTCCTTCGTTCCACCAGCATCCCAGGCGGGGTTCAGCACCTTAAGCCCGGAGCTAGGGGTCTTTGGTGAGCACCAGCCATGTGTGCAGCTCCCTGCCAGGCATGGGGGAGTCCAGACTGTTCAGTGCTAAGGCCCAGACCTGAAGTCCCCAAGGACTGGGCAGTCCACAGCTAGTGACAATCATGACTGGTGACAGCAAAGGGAGTCTAGCTGTGCACTCAAAGCTGGGCTTGGATGTCTCTGTTCACCAGCTATGTGTCCTTAGAAAAGCTCCTTGGCCTCCCTAACCCTCTGTTTGTGTCTGTGAAACAGTGGGTAGGAACATCTGCTACCCAGGATTGTTGAACAGATTAACTGACTAACTTGGATTACTTATAAACATGAGAGCTGTTAAAATAGTTTAAAACTCTGTGCTTTGAGTGCAAATTAAGAAAGACAGAGACTGGCTGGGTGTGGAGACGCATACCTGTAACCCCAGAAGGCTGAGGCAAGAAGATTGCCACAAGTTCAAGGCCACCTGGGCTACATAGTGAGTTCAAGGCCAGCCTGAACTACATAGTGAGACCTTGTTTCAAGAAAACCAATACAAAATAAAAGGAGAGCTAAGAGATTAATTCCAACTGGGGGAATCCAGGAATCCACATTGGAGAGGTAACGTTTGCCCTTGAGCAGAAAGGTGAGGAGGGGCATTCTGCTGTAGGCACAGCAGGTGCACACCTGGGAGAGGGGAGCAACACAGCCCACCTAGAGGGACTGGGACACAAGGGGACAGGGCTGGTCCCCTTGGCTGCCTTCAACTCTCCACCCATTTGGGATTTCTGGTTGTTGTCTTGCTCCCAGCACCCTTTACCAACCAGATGAGACGTCAAAGCGAAAGTTATCTTTAGGCTGCTCAACCCAGCCTGCTGGCCTGTGCCCCTTGCTCCCATTTCACCTTCCTGAGCACCCGGCACAACACTGATCTGCCACTCTGTGCCTGCGGCCAGGACACTCGCCTTCCCTGCAAGCTCTGATTCATTCTTCCCATTCCCACACCTTGGAAGCCTCCTTCCACCTCCTCCCGGTGATGGCCTTGGGAAGCTCCCTCTCTGAGGCTCAACAGAGCAGCATGGGCTTTGGAGGGAGATGGCCCGGAGGCCCACCCCAGCTCTGGCACTGCACGTCAGAGTGGACTCCAGTCCCACTGCTCCCCAGAGGAGAGGTGGCGATGTCACTAGGAGACTCCTGTGCCAAGTCCTCAGCTCAGCGCATCCACCTCTCCAGATATTTGGGGATTCTTTCCTCCATTTATTACACCTGGATTTCCATGCTGTGTGCTTGCCTTACTTTTTAAGGGACGAGATTGTGTTGGACTCAACGTAGAGGCACCCATGCCTGCTCTGGGGACATTTGCTGAACTGCAGAGAAAGCAAAGAGGTTGAAGCAAGTAAGGGTCCCGGACCCTGAGTCCCACCTTACATGTTCCCCTCATCCAGGGTGGCCCCCTGGACCTCATGTCAGGGTGGGGTGGAAAATCACTAAGGTCAGGCAGATCACACCCAGGGCAGCCCCTAGCGCCTGGTGAGCAGGGCTTTTATGAGCCTCATCACTTAGCTCTGACAGCCACCCTGGCCCTGCCCTGTGGAAAGAAAACTCCCATCAAAGGCTCTGAGTTGGTCACTACCTGATTAACTGCGTTGGCAGCTTCCAAGGTGAGCTGTTTGCAAATGGCCCCAAATAATGAATGTCCTCAAGGACTCAGCAGGTCACTTGGGGAAGGCATCCGAGACCCTCTCCTCTCCTACTCTCCCAGGCACGGGCTCATTCTGCCTCAGGGATTCCCAGGGTTGGGAGGGAGAAAGGGGCCATTTTTCTCAACATTAAAGGGCAGCCAATTGCCTCTGGGTGGAATGCAGTATCTGTTTAACAGGGGGAGTGGGTGACAGATTACAACTGCTTGGGAAGAAGCATCCCATATCTAATTGAAAATCCTGGGGAACTTTAGGTGGGTCCGATGTAATTACCTAACTTGGAGCAGGGCCAAGGGGCTTGGTCCTCCAGCTCTGGCTTGACAAGACTGTGTCTGTGCAAAACTAGTGGCTTAAGAGCTCCAGGAAGTTGACCAAAGGGTTAGAAACATGTCTCTGGGGCTTCCAGAATGCGGGTTGGAAGGTGGCAGAGGAAGAACTATTGTGATCTCCAAAGCCTTTATCTGACCCAGTGTACCTTACTGAGTCACCACCGTGACTGGTACCAAAGGCTTTACGAAGTGAAACCTTGGCTGACTCGTACTTGGCTTCCCAAGACGACCTTCGAACTGATAGAGCCTTCCAGCTTTGAGTCAGCAAGATGGCCAGAGGATGTGACACACCGTGAGCCTGGCCCAGTGATGCCCCTCAGGGTCACCAAGGACCTGCTCTCAGGCTCAAGTAGAGCCATGGGAGTTCAATGGGCCATCTCCTTCCACCCTGGCAACTGCAGTACCCATGGTATGAGGTGTTAGATGAATTTGAATTCCTGGGAGCTGAGTGACCTTTCCCCCTCACAGGCTCTCAGGCTGGCCCAAGGGGAAGGCAGGAGGTGCCACATGTCCTGTGTCAGAATCTGTGCTGACCCAAGCCCATGCAGCCTGCGCAGCCTCCCTGGCCCATTCCAGCCCTGGTGGCCACCTCCTGAGCACATGAGTCAGGTCACCCTTCCTCTCACCTCTCTGTGTCAGCAATACGGGACTAATGATGCCGGGGGTGGGGGATCCACACCACTCCAGTTCTCCTCATCCTGAAGAAAGTAAAGTTGGCAGACTCTTCTGCAAGCTGTCACCCTCCCGCCCAGACAGAAGGCAAGCGACTCCAACCCGGAACAAATGAGGCAGTTCTCATATTGTGTCTCGTGTGTGAAACCCAGTGGCTCAGGCTGCACGAGTTTCCAAGGGATGAAGACGATGATGAGTCTGAGATTCCCAGCACAGCTCCTGTGGCCCTGGAGGTGACAGGTGACCAGGTCTGATGTGGACAGAGTCTGGATAAAAGTGACAGGCATATGTGGAGGAAGCAATGCAGACATTCCTGGGGACCCAACAACCCTAGATCATGGCCCCAGGAGACTTCTGTCCCTTGCTGCCCTCCAGGGCCACAGGAGGAAAGAGGACTGGAATTTGACAGACTGGAGCTGTAATGTCCCTGCAACACCCCACCATCTGGCTGTGTCTGGTCTTCTCCTCCCCCGTATCCTGCATCATTCAGCATGAGAGAGGGAGGCTTTCTAAGAGTAGTCCAAAGCCTATCTGTTCATCTTCTTGCTTTTAAAATAAAACAAGGCCGGGGATTTAGCTCAGTGGTTCTGCCGCCTGCATCGTAAGGGCAAGAACCCGAGTTCGATCCCTGGTACCAAAAAATAATAATAAAATAAAATAAAACAGACTTCCCAGTGTCACCCTTTCTGGGTCAGTTTTAAAATGTATGTTTTGGACCTCCTCTTCTAGGTCCAGATGCACTGCCCGCTGTGTGCTCCCTTGAGTGACCTTGAGAAAACTTGGGGTCCTGAAGCATCAGAAAAGGGCACGCAAGGCGAAATGAAGGCCCAGAGAAGAGCTGAGAGCAGCCGTGAACTGCAAAGTTCCTGCTGTAAACCTTGAGGCACCCTCCACTCATCAGAGGGGACCCAAGTTAGGAGACACTGGGTTGAACAAGTTCCTTTACTGCAGAACTTCTCAGAGCCTTTAAATGCTGGGGTACACTGGGATGCTCCCAGAGGCAGAGGGCCAGTGTGCATACCAAGGATCTTTCATGCACAGAGCGCAGAGAGAGCAGGTGAGCACTGGTTGCCCCCGATGCTCCCTACTGCTCCTGTGGGGATGCGAGTGGCCATGCAAGCTCGGGCCCCTGGGAGTCAGCTTTCTCTGTGAGTTCCCCTGCTCCTGGGTGAGCTGGCTGAAAGTGTGGGGTTCCATCCATCTGAGCACCCCCACAGCCTGCGGTACCGAACCAGAGCCCTAAGGGCCTGCTGACTGACGGGAAAATACCATGAAATGAGAATGATTTTAAACTGCTCCTCCAAACTTGAGCAAAAGCTGAAAGACTCTTCCCTGGTAAAAAGGTTAAAACTGAATGTAAAGCCCTGAGTTTCATCTCAGCACCACACACACACACACACAAAATCAACAACAACAAACTCTTCTCCACTTTTCTGTCTTATTTCACCATTTACCTTGAGGAAGTTTCCAGATTTGGGCTGAGAGCTTGAGCAAGAGCAGCTGCATCCCATGTCCTACTCTGTCTACAGGATGCACGGGGACAGCTACAGCAAAAGTAGCAGCCAGCTGTCTGAGGCTGGTGATGCTGCGCCCAGTGTGAACAGCAGGTGACACCCACGTGCACTGAGACAGCACAGGGAGCCCCGTAAATGTGCATGGCTGCATGTGTCGATTGGAGAAAAGAGCACCTCTGTTTCCCAGCTCCTCCCCATCAAATCCTCACAGGAGCCAGTGCAGGTGAGATTCTCAATCCCACTATACCTGAGACCCCCAGAGGCGAAGGCTCAGGAGGAGACAGAGCTGTATTCACACTCAGGGCTGTGACCCACTAGGTCTGGCCTCTCAACCACTCTGTTTTGCTGGTGGAGGTGAGAAAAGGCTGTGTGTGAAGGTGACCAAGCCAGCGTGGGGGCAGGAAGTCCCTGATGTTTGGAGGAAGCTGTTCCTGACACTGGCCCTGGGTCAACTTCCAGACCCAAAGCCTGAAGGGCAGAAAGGACTTCCCCAGTGGCCTCCATCAGAGGTCAGGCTTCCTCCTCCAGATCCTGTGCAACCAGGTGGACTTGATTGCCTGATTTTCAGCTCCCTGTGCCTGTGGCCCCAGACACCTGCCTGCCTCTCTGGAGGAGCCCAGGTGGTGCTATGCTCAGTCCCAGCCTTGCCCCCCAAATGGCCAGGACTGCCTTAGGGGCTCCATGGGGCGAGGGCCTAGACAGCAATCTGTCTGATCTCAATAGCAATCAGCTCTAGACGTTCCATAACAATCTGAGGGCTAAATAATTGTGTATTTTTAAGCATCTAAGATGAAAGTAACATTGAATATGTTGGATATTAAAATGGAAATATAGTATCAGTTTCCAAATTTTAAATTTCTGTTACTATTTATTAAGCCATCATTTGTACCTACTATACATCTAATATGTACAATATTTTAAATTCTGAAACCAACCCTATGAAGCATAAATTACTCTCACTTTACAGGCAAGATGGAGGCTCAGAGAGGTTAGTATACTGCCCCAGGTCACACAGCATAAACATAGCAGAGGAGAAATTCAAATTCTGAAAGTCTGACCAATTCCAAAATCTGGACTTTAAATCTCCATCAGTACAAACTGCACTGCCTCCATATGTCTTGCCACCTCCACAGAGGTTTTATCTTATGAAAACAGAATAATGTCAGCACTCAGAGAGAGTAGTATCATGGGGCATGTGGGAATATCAGACAACTCTGAGCCCTATTGTCTGTGGCCCTCACATTAGCTGTGTGTACTTAGGCAAATCTCAGCCTCACTGAAGCCTACCTTCTTCTATGAAGTAAGTAATTATTTTTACAATAGGCCTATCATAACTGAATGAGCTTTTAGGTTCCTGGAATGTAGAAATTGCTTAGTTAATGTTATGCATTCAACAAGTATTTACTGAGCACCTACTCTGTGTCAGTGAGGGCTTGTGGCCCAGCACTGACCCCTCTTTCCCTCTGCCCGTGTTAGGGTTCTCTCCCAGAACCACCCTGCAAAAAAGAGTGAGGAGAGGGAAATGAAGAAGAAGAAGAATCAGGACTCACGGGATAACAGACTTTTTTGAAACCTTGGTGTGATCATCTGGGTTGTAATAACCGGGCCCTCGGCCTGTTGGCAGTTTTAATCCACGGTCAGTTTTTGATTTAAAACAAGACATTAATATCTTTGGTGACTGCTTCACGAGGGATTCATTGACATCATAATGCCCTAAACAGAAAAAAAAAATTTTAAGACAGAATAAAGAACTCTTCACAAAAAAATAAAAAGCAGAACCATCCCCTAAGCATCTAAGTAATAGCTATAAGGCAACCAAGGTCAGTTTAGGATGGTTGGATGGCACAGTGGCCTGGGCCAGCTCAGAGCTACACCCCTGCTCAGAGAGCACAGGCCACATGTGTCACACACTGAGCTGCCTGGTCCTCGCCGCAGCACAACCCCTCCACTCTCACCAGGAACAAATTTCTCAGCCTCGATGAAGCCCAGCCCTTTCCTCTACAGACCCAGAATAATAAAAGCTCCTCATCACAGGGGTCTTACGATTATGGAATACTATTTTAATGGTTGCCTTGTAAACATTACACAAGCAACAAGTATTTGTCGAGCACCTCGTACGTAGAGAAAGGTCCACCTGGTCCCAGAGCCCAAGCTTCCCACAACACCACCATGCTGTATCTGAAGAAACTGGGGAAGAAGCCCATTAATTTGTGTATAAAACTTCAGGGAGTAAAAAGCCTTGAGCCAGGATGAAGGAAAGGCCTGACTCCCTAAACTGTTAGTAGCCCTGAAAATGGGTGCAAGTGTTTGAGGTAAAAGCAGCAACACCAGGCAAAGGCCTTCAAGATGTCTGCACACTGGGACCCAAGCTTCCTATTCCTTGGAAATTAAGGGGATTGTTCAACAGAATGAAAAGGTTTGAGATACTAGGGTGCACATAGCACCAGTAGCTGAGGATCTGGAAATAGCCTGAAACTCCCAGTCCAGGGGTGGAGTTAGTACCAGGGCCAATCTGATGGGTTGTCAGCGCTGACAATCAGAAAGAGGCCATGAGGGCCGGGGATTTAGCTCAGTGGTTTCGTCGCCTGCTGCACAAGCGCAAGGACCTGAGTTCCATCCCCAGTACCAAAAAAAAAGAAAGAGGCCATGAATGGCCAGGGATTTAGCTCAGTGGTGCCGCCGCCTGCCTCACAAGCGCAAGGTCCCAAGTTCAATCCCCAGCATCAAAAAAAAAAAAAGACACAGAAAAAGGCCACAAGGCCACATGGACCTGTTTTGAAAATATGCATGAATGGAAAAAAAATAAAGCCTAGAAGTGTTTCAAATTTTCAGAGCAGAATTTCATCTTAATTGTTTTAAATAGAATTTACCTTTCCATTCCAAAAGTTCTAAAAACAACAATAGGGTCCACATCAGCAAGATTTTATTGAAAAGATCATCTCCTGTGATGGCAAAAGTGAGGGAAGACAAGTGCCCTGAGACAGGGAGGATAAATTACCCTTGCACTGAAGGGCAATTTGATCACAAGTATCAAAATTCTTAAATATCTTACATACCTTTTGCCTTAGCCATTCCACTTTAAGTAATTTTAAAAGGAAGGGTTTGTTTGTTTAGTTTTGTTCTGTTTTTTCCTTTTGTTTTTGTTTGTTTGTTTGTTTTTCAGAACTGGGGATCAAATTAGATCCTTCGCATTGAGCTTCATCACCAGTCCTTTTTTATTTTGAGACAGAGTCTCACCAAGTTGTCCCAGTGGCTTCAAATTTGTGATCCACCTGCCTCAGCCTCCCAAATAGCCAGGATTATGGTGTGCACCACCCAGCTTGGGAACTATGTTTCACCTTTGCCTGTAAAATGGGGATAAAAGAACGATGGCTTCCTGAGCATGTGTTGTGGGGAATTATGAAGCATTCAGCCTGGCACATGGTGAGTGCTTAGCAGGTGCCAGGATGCTTCCTCCTCCTGCTCTGGATTATAAAGAGTTGGAGACAATACAGGACCGGGACAGGACCAGAAGGAGCTGTGCCTGGCTATGGGGTGCCCACAGCCCAGGGCTCACCAGCAGGGACTCTGGCCAACCCCTAGAGATGCCAGCTTTGTTCCTCTGTGCAAACACACAAGGTGGGGCTTTGCCCTCAGATGATGGAAGGCAGGAGCTTTCCCAGGTTGAGCCTCTTAATTAGCGCTGGGTTTGTTCTGCAGCTTCAGACTAATCTTCTCAATTTTAATCTGGATTTGCTGAAATCTGACGGGCACTGCAATTTTCTCCACACCCCCCTGTGCAATGGGTGTGACTGCAGAAGCCAAGCCTCCCTACCCTCTTCCAGGCTCTGGGGCCCAAGGCTTCCGGCGGGGGAGGTGGGAGTCCCCCTGACTGATGTAGTAGCATGGAGGGTGTGGTTCGAGCGTAGAAGCACCATGGCTCCTGCAGCCAGGCTGCTCTGGGTCCAGACGCTCCAGGGGGCCCTGTGGTGAGACAGGCCAGCGGGCTCCTGGGTCAGACAGCTCTGGGCTTGGGTCTGCCGTTTACTGGCTGGGTGACACTGGACAAGTCATTTCAACCCTCTAAGCCTCCAGTTCCTCACCCGGAAATCAGGGCTAAGCACATGGAGCTGTGAGAACAGACACATGAGGGCTGCATGGGAAACACCACGGGGAGCAGGTTCAGGAAACAAAGCTGATAGACCCACCGAGTTAGGATTCGGTAACAAAGTCACAAGGCACAGTGGCAAGTCTGTGGCAAAGGAGCAGGCTGAACTTTCCCTGGCCAGGGGCTGCCATGGCACCTGGAGCATGTGAGTGTGTGACTTTTGAGGAGAGAGGCCACTTCCCACCTGGCTGCCCAGCTTGGTCAGGAGAAGGGGCAAGAAGGCTGCTGGGGACATTTCGGGGGCCAGCCACACCCCCTGGCAGAGCCAGGCCCTCACCCCTCTCCTCCTCCTCCCCAAGGCCCAGCTTTGTCCACAGAGATGCCCTACAAAGAAACAGGTGCCTGTGTATCAAAGCTGGAGCGCCAAGTGTAGGTGAAGGGCAGCGAAAGGAGCTGCTCACCTAGAGCGGGTCCCACAGCAGCGGCAGTGAACAGTCCCCTCTGGGTTTCAGACATAAACCCAGCTCGGCCGGAGACATTATTTTGCTGCTGGCAGCAAGAGGTGGAGGCCTGGGGGAGGAAAAACACCTGGTGTGCTCAGTTGTCTCTCTGTTTCTGTCTCTGTCTGTCTCTGTCTGTCTGTCTGTCTGTCTCTCTCTCTGTCTCTTCCTCTCTCTCTCGCCCTCTCTGCCTGGACAGGTGGAAAATTTCAGTTAAAAAAAAGTCAAATTTAAACCTGTCCTTAGAAAGTGAACTGACAGGCGCTGAGAAAGTCAAACTGTGCCTCCACAATTGTCCCAGCTCAAAAGAGCTGTGATCCCCAGCAAGTCTGGTCACCCAACGTGGTGCAGACAACAGTCCCTGGGTGACCCTGCTCAGGCTGTTTAACCTCTCTGAACCTGCGTTTTCTCGTCTTTAAAATGGATCTGATAATTAATTCCCTGCTCTATTGGCTATGGTGGGGGGGGCAGGATTCAAGAGGTCATCGGAAATCATCTATAGGAATGTGTTTTTCTAAGGGGGTAATGCTATACATGTAAATTACTTTTCATCATTTTTTCTGCATTTATTCTTTTCAGAACACTTAGTGTTACCTGTCCCCACCCTGATCCCTAGTTGCATTCCTCACTGTTCAAACAGTCCCTCTATAAACAGAGCATTTGGGGCACACACAAAAATCCTACCATTTGAGATTATAAGCAGTCTCTTGGCTCAATTTTTCTGGACTAACCAGAAATTAAGAATTTTGCCTACTCCATGTAATATCCATTTAAGGGTGCCCAGTACGTCCTGATCTCTCAAACTAATAGGAAAAAGCAAACTCCTGAGATCATTCTTTTGTTACACATGAATCACAAATATTTTAAATGCCAATTTGCAGCCAGTCTCCTATATTTATAGATAACAGATGCAATAAAAAGCGTGCCTGCCATCACTCCCTGGGAATATTTACTGAACAAGTGATTCTGTTTACTAGGCAGGATGGTTTGATTTTTCTGTGATATTCCTTTGTCAAAAAAATGTTTCTTGACAAATGCAGATGGCATTTTGATTTGGTGTTGACAAAAGTGGAGGAATTTTGCTTTTCCCAGGGTCCTAATGGCATGCAGAGAGGACAAACAAAAAGGCCAGATGGGCAGGCTAATTACTGGCCATGGGAGAGGAGCCAGGTCACCAGAGAGTAGGTAATAATATGGTACCAAGGTAAAGGACTGGAAAGGAGAAGCGGGGGGAATAGCAGTGGCCCAGGCAAAGTGAGGCCCAAAAGACCTCAAAGTGCAGCGTGGCTAACAAGATTATCGGATTTCTACTCCCACCAGCTGACTCCACTATTGTTCTCCTGGGTGGAAAAAAAAAGCCTCCTGCAGACAAAACAGCACTGCAGCTTTATTCCTCACCCAGACAGAAAAGCCACGGAAAAGGGGGGCATTTTGTATGCCCTGTGACATGGGAAGATTTTGCCCTTAGAAAAATATTCAGCTGGTTAGAAGGGAATGGAGCAGAGCTGTTGGACTGCCATGGAGAGAAGTCCAAGATCTTGTTAAGCAGAGAATGTGTGTGGACTGGGGTGCAGCAGGATCCTGATTCTGTGGGAGGGACCAGGGAGGAGAGTGTGAAAGAAATCACACCTGGCTGTTGGCCATGGGTCGCCTTGGCAAGCAGACTTACGGGGGTCCTCTACTGGCAGTCTGGGTTTCCATAGCGCTGGACGTGTTTTATGCTGAGCATGTGTTATACTCAGAGTCACATTAAAATAATAATGAATAATAAAAGACAATAGGAAGTAGGAAGATAGATCTTTTTCAAATGGGGAGGGAATCAGGAGATTCAGGGAAGGGAGGCAAGGGGATTAGAGAAGGAATTAAAATGTGCTATGTACCAACTTCACACAAGGAGTATAATCATTATGTGAGGCAAACATACATTAATAAAATATAAAAACTAGGAAAAAAATAAAACCAAGATGGCAAAAAATAATTACAATGAACAAACCCCATGCCCCTACTAATTGTTGATCCGTTGGCAGGAGGATATAACTCTGACTTGGGAAATGGTCGCTTCCAGATTAATATTTGGGTGGAACAAAGGGTTTGTCCTTCGATGTCACAGACATTTGTCATCACATGCTTGCTGCATCCGGGGCCTATGCACAGTCCATGTCATGTTCATCTCCTAGTCGCCCCGCCCTCTCAGAATGAAGGCCACGCACCTTCGTGGTGCTTCCATGGACCACAGCCTGTCCTCTCTCCTGTCAGCCGAGCAGTCTCCACGCTTGTTCTCCAGCACCTCACTGCGGTCATTCTCCACACAGCAGCTACCTCAGATCACATCACCCCACGCTCCCACCCCCTCAGGTGCTCCCCAGTGCAGAGAAGAAAGTTCAAACTCCCTCCTGGGGTCTTTAGGATGTGCTGCCTGGCCACTGCCTGTCTGCCTGGCCTCCCTTGCCTCCTAGCTCACAATCGATAGCCATTCCACCTTCTTGGAGGTCTCATGGGCGGCTCTTTGCTGTCCCAGGACCTTTGTGCAGCTCTGGCCTTTCTTTCAATTCTTGGTCTCAGCCTCTGAGCCTTCTCTGACCACCAAGTCTGAAGGGTGGTACTGCCACTTCTGTAGCCCCCACATATTCTCTCGCAGGCTTCTCCCTCAAAGCTGCCCACAGTTTGTAATTATTGTTTGTCTGACCAGTTCTTGTCTAAGTTCCCCATTGAGTACCACTGTACCACACCAGGCTGGCACACAGTAGAAACAGAACTCATGAAGGGAAGTCTGGCTGGACCAGAACAGCAGGACCTCTTATTCGCCAGCTCTTTACTTGAGCCCACTGATGCCAAATGATCCCTTTGAACTGGGTGACCTAGGGCAAGTCCCTTCGCCTCTCTGAGCCTCAGCTTCCTCTTCTATAAGTTGAGAGTAAGATCATCTATGTCATGGATTTTTGTGAGTATTAAATATGATGAATAAATAACTCTTAGCACTTAGTCCATGAAAAGTACACCACCATCATCACCGCATTCACCCCGTTATCCTAAGGGAAGACTTTCTGGAGTTGTACCACCCAGTGCAGTAGCTATGAGTCTTTGTGGCTATCGAAGCTGGAAATATGGTTATCAAAATACACACTGGGGGCCGGGGATTTAGCTCAGTGGTGCCACCGACTGCCTTGCAAGCCCAAGGTCCTGAGCTCAATCCCCGGTATAAAAAAAAAAAAAAACAGAAACAAAAAACACTGGGCTTTAAAGACTTAGGACAAGAAAAGAATCTTCCTAAAATTCCTAATTAATAATTTATACACTGATTATATGTTGAAATAATATTCTGGATCTTCTAGGTTAAACAAAATGCATTGTAAAAATGTATTTTACCTATTCCTTTTTACTTTTTAAATATGGCTACCAGAAGATTTTAAACAACACAACTAGATCCCATTACATTTGGCTTAGACTCAGGTTGTCTTGAACTTATTAGAATTGATGGGCTCAGGGCTGGGGATTTAGCTCAGTGGTTCTGCCGCCTGCCTTACAAGCATAAGGTCCTGAGTTCGATGCCCAGTACAAAAAAAAAGAATTGATGGGCTCAATCAAGGAAGATAGGCAGGCTCTTTGTAGTTCGAAAAATAAATATGGTTTATAAATACTACCAAAGAGGAAATTGAAAAGTGAAGTAATGAAAGGGTGAAATACTTTTAAATACACACAGTAGGCTCACTATTTTTTGTACAACTCATATCGTATGCATCTCAGAGTGCTCTCACTCTTGTCTCACTGGCTTCATATAAAACCCCACAGGGCAGGGATAATGAACTCTGTTTTACCACTGTGGCTCTAGGGGGTGGGAGACCTGCCAAAGACTGCCCTAGCCTTCTCCAGGTCCTGTATAGTCCTTGTGTGCATCTGCCCAGCCTAGAATATGCCATTTCACATCTGCATTAACACTATGAGGTAAACAGATATCCCTGTTTTACAGCCCAATGAACTAAGTCCTAAAAGACTAAGGGACTTGCCCAAGGCCATATGGTTAGATTGCAGGTTGAGATTTGACCCGAACCTACCTGTACCATAATTGGCAGAGTGCAATAGTTACAAAAAAAAAAAATCTTTTGACATGGAAAGGTAGAAGTTGATTTTCCCAATAAGAACCTAAAAATTAAATGAATTGTGACTAGGCCGATAAAGTACAGAATAATGTACCATTGTTACAGATGAGAAAAGTGTGTCCCTGAAAGGCTATGTGACTGGAATGATTCAAATAGAAGTATTTTTCAGGGCAGGGGTCTTCCTACTATTGCCCACCGGCCTCAGTGTCACCCACACCGCTCACTGGGTTCAGCAAAGTCCCTGTCAGATTCTTGCACAGAATTAGTACCCATGGGTTAGACGACAAATGCTACCTGTCTTACAAACAGAATTCAAATACTATTTTCCCAAGCTCCCCCTCCCTTTCATATCAGCAAGCCATTCGTTCAATTTATATTTAGCAGGTATACGCAGTGCTCTTACATTATAATGGTTTGGGGCAGGAGTTTCAGATTTGAGCACTTTCACGCAGATTGGCAACTGGAACATGCTGGAACAAGAATTACTGAAGTCTTTCTTCGAAGCAAAATTGGATGGGATAGTGTACGCATTAGCCGCAGGATATTTAGAAATAATGGTGTCCAATCGGGCACTCTGTGAGAAGAGAAAAAGCCAGAGGAATCAGCATCGTCATGGAATCTTGTGGCTCTAAAGGTCAGGTGTCAAAAAGATAGTACCCAGCACCAGGTCTAAAAGTATTTTCTAAAAGGTGACACTGTGGTAGGTGACAATGATAAAGTGACCTCAGGCTTTGAGCATTTGCTCTTGGAAAATGCAAGTTTGGGCCTGTTTGACTGCTATAAGCCAACTCAAATTATTCATCTTCTGTTCGGGACTTGGCAAAAATAATTTTGCCATAAATGCATTTCCACCCATCCTGTTCTGGGCCAAGTACACTTGATTCATCAGCTATTGGGTAATTCATGCAATGGGAGGTTTGACTCTCTTCTCCCAACCAAGCCTTTCCTCCTGCATGAAACTTTACATCTTGTTCCTAAGGTTAAGTGGGCTAAATGGCCTAAGCACAGATGGTTCCCACATCTCAGAGTCAGAAGGCCGAACAAAACTCCCCATCCCGTGCCTCCTACCCCCGCTGGGCGAATTACTGTTTTCATAAAACCCTACAATCTTTCTGCTATCTCAACAGAACTAATGCCATTCCTTTCAGGAAGCCACGACAAAATATTTTCAGTTAACAAACAAACACAATCAGTGTTTGCCAAATGAACAGGGACAAAAGCCATAGAAACTTAGCGATAACATCACTTTACCCTCGAGAGTATGGCAAGTATTGGAGTCCGATAAAACGAAACATTTCCCACAATTTTATGGTTAAAAGCTTGAGAACATTACCCTGGGTTTTCTGGGCTTGATGGGGTCAATGACTATACAAGTGCACAATGTGAGGGAAGCCGAGGGGTGGCATGAGCTCCGGGCCCCACTTTGCCCTGTGCCGGTGGTGATGATTCTCAGGTCTGGTTCATGGACCACAGTGGTCTGCAGGTGAGTGAACTACCAGACCCTGAAGTCTCATTCAGAGCCTAACCTGGGTCCGAGTCCCAGCTCTGCCTCCTTCTAACCATAGCAATCTGTTGATTTCTCAGACATAAGGACCCCCCCACCAGCCTTGTACAAACATTTGCCTGTGCATTTTGGCCAACTGTTTACCATGTACTTTGTGTTTCCTTTAATCTGCATGACAACTCTGAGTGGTGGGTACTGTATTGTGATTACTCCCACTTTACAGATGAGGAAACCAAAGTTCTGTTACTTAAATGGTAAGACAAACATCCTTAGCCAGGTGGTTTGCTTCCCTACAGAATGGTCAGATACCCGATTCCAAAGAGGAATGGGTTGAGAGCACGGCCCCGGGGTTGTAGCGAAGTTAGTTGACCATGGAATTTTTTTTTTGGCTTAAAAGACCTATTAATTTTACATTTTGGAAAAAAAATATTCTAAAATATTCCCAATAAGGGCAAGTTTCATAAGGTATCATAAAAGGATTTGTTTCAGAGTGTAGCTAAATTAACACTCACTCACCAATACTCCACACCCCTGGGCTACCCACCCAACCTTCGGTCTCCAATCTGGCCACATGCTGGTGTTTATGAACCTCTCTCCAACACATACTAACTTCTCCACACCACTCCTGCTATGTGCATACAGAGAAAGGCTACCAAAGTCCCCACCCCCCTGCCTCATTTAACTTCCTAGTCAGTACTGTGTACAATTGTAGAGCAAAGATTTGGTGTGTATTAAGGAGGCACTTTATATCATTTGAACTTAGAGAGGTGACAGGTCTTCTCAAAAGGCTGGGTGGAGTTGTTCCAACAGGCATCAGGAAGTTTCTAAAATTTATAGACCCACAGAGTTGTTTGGTCAGCCTCACCCATCACCACACTCCTCTGGGCCATGGCGATCTTTCTCTGATGAGGTCTATTCTAATTCCCTCCGAGTCTTGGGATCTGGAAGTAGAAAAGGTGCTACATGTGGGAGGGCAGCGGTAAGACATTCTCTTCCGGGTCATATACGAGTTAGGGAAGATGGAGGGAATCGCCTGACAGACCTCATCACCGCACAAGGCCCCTACCCAAGGATACAGAAACTCAAGTGTTTAGAAACACAAACTCCTATGACCACCAAAGGGAGGCCAACGCAATGTCTGCCTTCTTCTGGGTCTGGTTTTGAATTTTTCAAAGATCTGAAAGGCCTGATTAGATGCTATAATACTCAGATCTTCTCTCAGGCTCCAGACAGCCCGACCTTCTCATTTGAAAAGTAAATTGCAGGTGAACTCCAGCAGGGCATTGATCATAGGTTCCAATGCAGTCCCTTTCTTGGCACTGAGAAGGAATAGGCAGTGCCACTGTTTGGTAAAGAAGTTCTCGGACAGAAGTCTTGGGCGTTGCAGGAAGTCTTATTCGTGACTCAGGTGGTAACAATCATAATATTTAGCATGTGTATAATGCTTTGCAGTTTCAAAGGGTATTTTGCTCCCTGCAATCTGCCCAGAGCCTCCAGGGAGTCTCCGCTTTTATGAGGCAACTGGGACACAGAAGGGTGACGTGCTTGAGGTCACATCGAGACTCCAAGGCTGAGTCAGGATTAGATCTTAAGGCTTGCTTTCTGTGCGAGGATGTTGTGAGATGGTACTCCTTTTGCCGATTGCTTTTGAGTCTTTTCTAGCGGGATGGGGGTGGGGGAACAGACAAATAGAGGCCTGGCTGTTCTGCGAACTCCTGGAGGCGTGTGCCTCCTCAGCTTCTTTGGTAATGGGGAGTTAACTCCAAAGTTGGTTTCTCCTGGAGTATTCAACTTTGCCAAAGTTGACTTCCAGTAAGAAGTGGATACATTCAGTGTGTCTTAAAGGGTTCCTTTGTGTAGTTTAAAAAAAAAAAAAAAGATGTATCAATTCCAATGTCAGGCATCATAATACATCTGTTCGAGAGATTATTATAACCTTTCAAGGGACGAGAAGGCACATGTGCTTTGATAATGTTAGAATCTGGCTTTGCTTTCTTTTTCACTTTTCTACTCCAGCTATCCCTGCCCTTGTTTGGCTCATTCACCTTGCTATAATCTATTTTTCTTGCCCATTTATGAATATATTTTTAAGAAAAGGACTCTCAAGCTAAGGCATAGCTCACACATGCTGCCATCCCCAGCATGGCAAAAACAACAAAACAGAAGAAGACTATCTTCTCCCAAGTCCAGCCAAGGTCACTGGTACAACCTCAAACAGCTATTTCATTGTTAGAGCTCTCAATAAAGATAAAGTCTCACACTGCACAAGGAAGAGAAATAAGGGTCAGGAATCAATAAATTTCAGCTCCACTCCTTGCTTTCTTTTTGGTCCCATCAGATTTCTCAATAATTTGAACAACTCAATTAAATCAAGCAAGAGCAAAATTTCTATTCTGGCAAGATGTAAAAGAGTAACATTTTCTTGACCTGCCTAAAATTCTCAGGGAGATGCTTGCTTAATCTACTCAATGATGACAAAAATCGGTTTGGATAATCAAGTCCTGCATATTCCTCTAGCTTCTCTTCCCACCCTGGGAATATATGACAGTGGAGTTTATGTGCACGAGACTGGAGATGGTGGTTACTCTCTTAATCAGAACCACAGGCCTTTGGAGAGAAAGAGCTACCATCCAATGTACAATTATATATTGATTGGAGGAAATTACTGACCAGTTGCTCTCCCAGAGGGACTCTCACCATGGAAGGAAAAGTGCAGGTCCCTTTCCTGGACAAGGAGACACTGCTGAACACTGGAGACCAGTGGATGATGTTGTAGGACCCAGGGCCTGGGACATCATTCTGAAAGGGGAGAGAATGTGGTGTCATGAGGATACATGAATCCCAATGTGCTTTTCCACCAGCTTTGCATTCATTAACACTAAGCCTCCCCATAATCCTACAAGAGAGGCACCACTGCCACTTGGTGGATGAAAGCCCAGCTCCACCTTTCCCAGGCTACCCATCTCCACCTCAGTTCCTGAGTGATGGGGCAGGAATTCCAACCCAGGCTGGGGCTCCCCAGGCCCATGCTTTTTCCACTATGCCATGCTGCATTGCACAAGAAAGCTGCTGTTTTTTCATGTCATTAGAGAAATGAGTGTAAAAAGGAACACCAAACATGACTGATGGGCAAGTCAGCGTGCAGGGATTGGGTAAGCCAAACCCACAGTGAGGGAAGGGTGGCGATTTCACATTAACCACACCCCACCTGACTCAGCTTCCTCCAGCTTTTAACAAGAGAAATCAGGAGTGTTTCTGTTTATAAAGCAAAAATGAAACAAAAACAGCCTTGGTTCCATACAAGATCATTTCTGACTCTCAGACAAAAAGAGTGGGCTCAGGGGGCTCAAGTGCTGACTGAGGCAAGTATGTTGGGGAGAAAGCCACAGCGCTGAGCTCACAGCTGTGTCAGCCACTGCAGCTCCTTTCCTGCGTGAGTTGCCAGGAGGACATCCGTGTTGACAGAAGCTGGCCCAGTGAGCGGTGTGAAAATATGAAGATGTTTTACTGTTTGGGAGTTTGTAGCAGACCTACTGGGCACCAGGAGCTCTCCCAAGCCAGTCTTCTTTACATCATCACTCAGTGAGGAAGGGCTCACTGTACCCATTTCACAGTTGGAGACCCCAAGGTACACAGGGATGAATTTGCTGAAAGTCCCACTGCTGTAAGCGGCAGTACCAAGTTCAGTGCTGAGTGTACGGTGTGTGCTGTCTCCACTCCCTGGCAGGGTGGGTATTATTAGAGCCACTTGAAGGAAAGTGAGACCCAGAGACATGAAGCTCTCAGCCAGGAAGTGATGAAGCCCAGATTTGAAACCAGGAAGCATAACTCCCCAGCTTGCCAGTCTCTGACACCCTGGGACCTCCAGACTCAACTGTCCCTACTGCTTTTTCTCCAACAGGAAGAGAGCTTCCTCCCAGGACTCCAGGCTGGCTAAGACAGTGTGATAAAGGATAGACTCACACGTGCCACAAGCAGGCCCCTCTGTGCCGAATTTTGCTCCTTTTTTTTTTTTGGTACCGGGGATTGAACTCAGGACCTTGAGCTTGCACAGCAGGCAGCGAAACCACTGAGCTAAATCCCTGGCCCAATCTGTGCCTAATTTTAAATACAGTGCATCCCTCTGGCCCTGGCCCTGTGGCAGGTGGGAGCAGGAGAACTAGTTCTGCTTCACAGGGGACCTGGGTGGACAGAGGGGACAGAGAGTTAGGCAGGCAGTGAAAAGCACAGCACAGCGAGGTACACAAACAGCCCAGGCCTGGAGTTCAGTCTACGAGCTCGGTTGACACTGCCATCGGTTCAAGAGAACTGTATGGATGTTCATTTTCTCTGGCGAGCTGAAGTTGCCAGATAAAACTGAAGACTTGAATGGCTGTGCCACCCCCCACCCCACCCTGTTGGTTAGAATTTTACATAAACAGCAAATAGCTAATTTAGCACAAGTATAGCCCATGACATGGTTGGGATATACTTTCACTAAAATAATTATCTAGCTGAAATTCTAATTTAACTGAGCATCTTATGTTTTTTTATTTGCTAAATCTGACAATGCTGCTGGGCCTCAATCATACTTTAACCCTGCCACAAGGCCAACTGGCTCGAGTCCAGGGCAAACAGCAAGAGGACTGTCACCTCTCAGCCTGGAGGGACAGAGGATTGCCCGTGTGCCTTTAATGAATGGCCAGTGAGTGTCCGAAAGGAGTCCTCCAGGAAACAGTGTGCTGGCCAGTGGCAGCTGGGGAAGGGAACTGTTAAAAATAAATGTCACCAGTGCCAGCTGTTCCTCAGACAAAGGACTATTATCTAGAATATACAAAGAACTCAAACAAATCAGCCTTCCCAAATTTAAAGACCCAATCCAAAAATGGGTATCTGAAATAAACAGACACTTCTCAGATGAAGAAGTAGAAACAGAAAAGTAAATATATGAAAAAATGTTCAAGATCACTGGTCATTCGAGAGATGCAGATTAAAACAATCCTGAGATTCCATCTCACTCCAGAAAAGATGGCTGCTACCAAGAAACTGACCAATAACAAATGCTGGCGGGGATGTGAGGAAAAAGGAATCCTTCTTCACTGTTGGTGGGAGTGTAAACTGGTGCAACTACTGTGAAAATCAGTGTGGAGATTCCTCAAAAAATTAAAACTAGAGGTTTCGTTTGACCCAGCTATTCCCCTTCTTGGTATCTTCCTGAAAGAATTAAAAGCATCCTACTACAATGATATATGCACACCCATGTTTATACAGCCATAGTTTGTAATAGCTAAATCTTAGAAACAGCCCAAATGCCCATCACCTGATGAATGGATAAATAAGGTGTGGTGGGGGTTTTTTAGACAATGGAGTACTACTCAGCCACAAAGAAGGATAAGCTTAAGACATTTCTAGGTAAATGGATGCACCTTGAGACATACTCTTTAAGTGAAATAAATCAGACGCACATATGTAAACATCGCATTGTTTCTCTGGTGTGAGAAACCAAAAGTATAAATAAAGACCAAAATGTATAATAGATACTATGAAATAGGAAGAAAATGTTCAAATGGGAAGGGGAGCTGGGGAGGGGGGAAGAGCAAAAGAAGGAAGGGAAATGAGAAAATAAGGAGAAAATGGAAATAAACCTTTTGTAAATAGAGGTTGCAGGGAGGGGAGGGGAATGGGGAAAAAAGAAGAAACAAGATATATCATGTACAGGTACAATTTCCCTATGATGAATGCGATCATTGTGTATATCTAAAATGTACCAATAAACTTAATTAAAATGAATCTAAAAAAAATAAATGTTGCCAGTGGTAACTTGAGATTAGCCAAGGTAGGAGTATTTACACCACCTAAATTGGCAAAGGCTACAATGGGGACTTGACTCTGTGGAAGGGAGAGCTGGTTTCCCAGCACGCTGCTCCCTCCATGCAACGCCCAAGTCAGTTCTGTGGGAGAAAAGAGCTGCAGAGAAGTCACACGTATTCCTGCAACAGCTAGAGGTGTGCTCTGGCTCTCTGGATGGACACAAAATATCCAGAACTTTTACTGTTCATGTCACTAATGTTGTGTGACAGTGGCGAGTTTGGGCTTTTCAGAGGATATAATACCAGGGAAAAAGAATCCCAGCTGAGATTGGCATGAACTTAGCAACCTTTCTTGGCTGAGGGCAAAACCAACCAAACAAACCAAACAAAATGGAGAGGGAGTAGGATGCACATTGGTTAGAGCTCACTGTCTGCCTCCTGAGACAGTGCTCCGTGGAGCCCCAGTGCTGGAGGCTGTACCTGCTGTCTCCACACCTGCCTCAGCATTAAATAAGCACTTTAATCAGTAAAAGGGGTAATGTCAAAGGATGGTGACATCATTGTCCTTTTGTAAATTTTATTTTGGTGGTGCTGGAGATGGAGCCCAGCAGGTTGCTCACGCTGGACAGGTGCTCTACGACTGAGCTACACCCACAGCCTTCTTTAAAATGTTTCAGTTTGAGACAGGGTCTTGCCCAGGCAGGCCTTAAACTTGTGATCCTCCTCCTCCTCTGCTTCCGTGGTAGCTGGGTTTACAGATGTGCACCACTGTGCCTGGCTCATCTTCACCTGCGCCATCACACTTGAAGTGGCCACAGCAGCCTTCACGGAGCCAGGACCGTCACGTGGTCATGAAGACCTCCACAGCGGGGCTGGGCCAGGGGTAGCTGGGGTTATATCTCCATCCTCCCCCCTCGTAACATGTCGGGGTGACATTCCGTTGAAACACACTTTGAGAGGTCGTGTGAAGATGAAAGTCCTGAATGGGCAGCGTCTGCCAGGAGACTGTGTGCCAGGAGTGGGACACAACCCACGACCCTGTGAGCTTGGGGTGGGCTGGGCGTGCGGAGGAGGAGGAGGAGGAAGAAGGAAGGAAGCAGGGCACTTTCCTCCTCACCCCAGGTGTCTGTCTCCACAGGTCACGGAGGACTTAGTATTCCAGAGCCTGGAGCCAGTCACATCTTCATATGTACTGGATTTTCTAGTACAAAATTTTCTAGTACAAAATTCGGTCTGCATTAAGCCATGGGCTAAAGACCCCAGGTCTGCTTTTGACTCTTCAAAGCCATTCCACTTGCTTTGGACTCTTGGGGGCAGGCAACCTGTGTTTCTCAGGTGAGCATGAGAGGAAATGGAGAGTTGGCTAATGGGCTGGAGATGTAAACAGAAGGCCAGGCCCAAGGGGGAAATTCAGGGAATCTTGTGGCTGCTCCACAGCAAAACCATTCGGGGAAGTCAGAGTTCCTGAGGAAATGGTTGCCTTTTACAAATGCCTGGGTCACCCTGTTGACTTCATCCAAGGCTAGGAAGCTTGTGCTCAGTTTGACTGTGGCCCAGGAAGTGGAGGGAACACAGAGCAGCAGGCGGGGGAGCCAGTGTCTGTCCCTAGCGTGGACCTCCAATGGCCACAGTTCCTTCATCTGCTGTAAACCTACAAAAAGCCGAGGTGGGACAAGGCCTGTGTTTTTCCAACTGTGCTCCTGGCTCCCAAGAGCACCCCAGGGAGAGACAGAGGCTGGCTGTGAACAGCAGCTCCGGTTCCCGATTCACAGCTGGGCTTCAGCAGGAGATGCTGTCCCAGAGGGACAGGCCCCGCTGGTGCGACTGCTCGAGATGCTCAGCCTCACCGCTTAGGAGACACCTTTCCCTATCTGCCTCTCCCCTTCCCTCTCTGGGGCCTCTCCGCCTTCTCCAGCACCAGAGTTTCCACACTCCAGCCACAGGTAAAGAGTGAGAGACAGAAATGGGGACTCGAACAAGCAGATGCCACTATCCCATTCCGAATGGGGGAGGGCGCCAGAACCGCAAGGTCCCTGGGAGCCCTGAGGGAGTGGCCGAAAGGAGAATGAGGAGCTGCTTTCCTGAAACCTATGTTTCTTAGTTTCCCAGAGGGGAGGACGTAGGGAAAAAGTGAGGTGACTGTGACAATGGCCACCTGAGAAGGTCCTCATCACTCTGGCCTGGATAGGTCAGAAATGAGCACGGGTTCAAGCCAGTCTCGTCTCAGAGCACCTCCGGGCCTCTTTTTCCAGGGCTCTCCTCTTTCTCACACCTGGCTTCAGCTTATTCACAGCCCTCTGGGATGCCCTGAGCAGGATGTGGGCAAAGATTCAGTCAGCGACACTAACTGACCCTACGTACAGTGGGCCAGGACCTGCATGGGGAGAGGGGGACGACAAGGACACTGGCACAGCCCGTCAGCTACGCCCAAGCTCCATGAAGCAGATGACAAAGCTGCATCCAAACTGTGAAAATGAGGACTGACTAGGGTGTAGCTCAGTGGTAGAGTCCCTGCCTACCGTGCACAAGACCCCAGCACCTCAAAAAGAAAAAAACCCTGTGCAAAGAGAATGTGTTTTCCTGTGACTCCATGGGAAATGGAGACTTGAATCGGGACAGTCATTGGATTTAGGGACGTGGAAAACACATCAGTGGCTGCTGCCACGGAGCTCCTGGATGGATGGCACACGAGTCACCATCATGGCAAGGAGGAGGAAGCTGGGACATAAACTGGCGGGGGGGGCGGGGGGGCCTGCCCAGGGAGATGCCAGAGAAGCAGTGCCCTGGCCCGGCCTGACCCTATCAGGGTAAGTTACCTAGCCATCTTTTTGTCTCAGAGTCATCTGAAAAGTGAAGATAATGAAGGGACTTGGGCCACAGGTTATTATAAGGATTAAGTGGGTTAATAAACGCAGAGCTCTTCAAGGGGCATGTCATTAGGGTCAGCCAAGGGTTTGATATTTTCAGGACCATGTCCTGCAGTCCTCTTAGGAAGGGGAGCTGGTGACTGACTCACAGCGCAGAGGGAAGGTAGGGCAGAACCTACTGAGGGTACAAGTGGACAGTTACCTCCGTGAACATAGTGATCTCAGCTAACAGAACTTCCTGTCATTTAATGTCCCTGACATGTACAAGACCCCTGGTTCAGGATCTTATCAAGTCAGTGAGGAACAGTATAGACTTTATACAATTTTACCACAACACATAGCTGGGACACACTACCTTTTGGAAGGCAGAGTTCCTGTCCAGCACTGTATGGAGTCACCTTGTGTTTTAAATTGTGCCCAGCTGGAGGACAGAGTCCCCATACCCTACTAGTACATGCACATTTGGGGCTGGAAGGAATCAGGTTTAGAAGCAGAGATTGGTAATTCCTGGCAAAGATCTATCTAAAATGAGGAAACTGAGATGGAAAGGCACTAAGTGGTGTCCCTAGAGCAGTGGTGGCGAACCTATGGCATGCGTGGCACAGTGGGCACACAGAGCCCTCTCTGTCAGCATGAGAGCCAAGTTGCCCCAGCATCGCCCCAGCAGCCGAGCATCAGATAACAGTGAATATAGAGTCAATGCTGGCACTTTGGTAAATAAATGGGTTTGGGGTTGCAATTTAGGCACTGGGTCTCTGAAAGGTTCGCCATCACTGCCCTAGAGTCACACAGCTCAGGAAACAGTGACCACCACCCCAGGGTAAGATGAAGACAGAAGCAGGAGGTGGGGAAGAAAATGCCCAGCAGGCCACAGGGCTGGGCTCTGTCACACAGAGGCATGTCTCTTCACGAATGCAAAGCTGACAGCACATCTGTAAATAATTATTAAAAGCTCAGGAAAACACACTTTGTTTCTAGCAGCCCAAACTACCCGTCTAGACATGGAGTTCTGTGAAGGATCCTTGAGCCCAGCAGCCAGAGTCTCATGGGGACTGTGAGCCGGCAAGAAGGAAAGTGCAGGTCTAGAGGGCCTTGACTCTCCATGTCCCAGATGTACTAAGTGGGTCACCGCACTGAGGTGAGGAGACAGCCCAGTTATGCGGCCGGGCAAGGGTGTGTGCGATTCTGTCTTAAGAAGGGTGGTGAGCCATTGGAGTTTTAAAATCTGTCTTTAATTTGTATTGCTTCACTAAATTACTGGGTGATGTTGAACAAGCTCCTTAATTTCCAATGCCCATTCTACTCAGGAAAGATGAGAATAATGAGCATGGAATAAGAATCTATTTTTCTGTTTAGGATTGGAGAAGACTTCAAGAATTACATAATCCGAATTTTACGTTTCAGATGAGGAAACTGAAGCCCAGAAAAAATAAGTGGCTAGTTTCAAGGCAAGGACCTAGCTAGTGACAGAACCTGGTTTATGAAGCGCTGACCTTTCCAGAAAATTCCACTTAAAAAAAAAATGCTTTAAGATACTTAGTTTGTACATTGTCAACCAAATACAACTACTTTTGAATAGTTGGAATAAAAATTCCAAGTGGTTTCTCTCTTTCTCCCCTGTAGTTTTGGCTGGCTGCCATCTTGGCTCCCACAGTAGAAAATGTTCTGGGGAAACAGCAGTATTTTAAATGCTAACTTTCAAAGTCGGCCGCTTGTTTTCTGGCTGAGTCGTCAGGCCTGATCACACAGAACAGAGGCTCTGCACATGTTTTGCCCACTCTTGAGCCCAGACTCTTTTGCCAATGGTCTTTCAGAAACCTGCTGACTTTCCTCCACCAAATTTATGGCCTTGTAGGCCACAAAGGCAGGTGTGGCCTGGTGTGGAAAAAGTAAGAGGCTTTGCAGTGAGCTAGGCCAGAGTTGAGGTCTAATTCTTTCAACATTGATTCAGCAAATATTTATTTAGAGCCTCTTATGTGCCAAACCCCATTTTGTATGAACTTGGGTGGGTCATTTAACCTCCTTAAGCCTCAGTTTCCTCTTCTGTTAAATTAAGATAATAAACCCTTCCTTTCAGCATTGTTCCAAAGAGTAGAGATACAACCTAAACAAGATTTGACAGATAGTAGGGATCAGTAAATGGTGGCCACTGTTACCTTTGTTGGAAGCTGAGTTATGGATACTCTGGAGATGGACAATATATTATCATTAAGTTGACAAATGGGAAGCCAAACAGAAAATGGGGAAGACTGACAGTTACAGAGAAATTAGAAAAAGAAAGAAAATGGCTGAGCAAGTATTTATCATCTTTGGGGAAATCTACAATTAAAAAAAAAAAAAAAAATATATATATATATATATATATATATATATATAATATTCTTTATTGTTTGCTTTCTTAGACTCCTAAACTATCAGAAGTGGAACTTAGAACATTGTCTTGCTCCTCTATACAGGAGGAATCAGGCCACAGTGGAGAGGCTGCCCAAGGCCCTCAGCTTCAAGCCTCCCCTGTGTTCAGAACTTGCTCTGGCACCAGGGCAAGGTGGGCAGAGACAAGAATGTTTAGAATGCAGCAAAAGGTCAGTGGGATGATCACTCCTCCAAAAGAATGCTATTCCTTAAGATGTTTATGTACATGTACCAACTCCCCATGGTGAATGTAATCACTATGAACTGTATACATGTACTAATAAAAAAAAAATTTTTTTTAAAGAATGCCATTCCTAAAAAAAAGAAAGAAAGAAAGAATGCCATTCCTAAAATTTGGTTTAAATGAAAGAATGAAAAATGTAGACTCTGAGGACACTTGTGAGTTGCTTCCACCCCCTGCTGGTGGCCGAAGCAAAAGCAAGACAAACTTTCCAGATCAGAGGTGGAAACAGAGATCTGGGGACGAGAGTGTGGACAGAAACAGTAATAGGACATTGTTTAAGGAAGTTTTTTTAAAAAGGGGGGAGCAGATCTCATCATAAAGGTAATTCTCAACAAACTCTTTTCTCGTGTTACTGAAGAAAAACACGTAATTTCATGCAACCACTGTGGAAATCAGTACGGAGATACCTCAAAGAACTAGGACTAGAGGTCCCATTTGACCCAGCTATTCCCCTGCTGGGGGTATCTTCCTCAAAGAATTAAAAGAATCATAGCACAGTGATATATGTGCACCCATGTTCATAGCAGCATAGTTTGTAATAGCTAAAGCTTGGAAACAGCCCAAGTGTCCATCAACTGGATAAAGAAGATGTGGTTTTTTTATAAAATGGAGTACTATTCAGCCATAAAGAACAAGAAACTAGAGACATTTATAGCTAAATGGATGCATATTGAGGCCATCCCCTTAAGTGAAATAAATAGGACACACGTGTAAATATCGCATAGTTTCTGTAGTGTGAGAAACTGAAAGTGTAAATACGGGTCAAAATGTATAATAGATAATGTGAAATAGGAAGAAAAGGTGCAAAGGGGAAGAGGAAGTGGGAGGGGAATGGGAAAGGAAAGAAGGGAATGGAATTAATATGAGAAAATGAAAAAATGGAAACAAAGTTTTTGTAAATAGGGAGGGGTGGAAGGGTTGAAGGGAGGGCAGGGGAATGGGGAAAAAATAAGAACTAAGATGGATTATGTAAAGGTACAAATCTCCAATGATGAATTTCATTATACTGTATACCTAAAATGTTCCAATAAAATTAATTTTTTAAAAAAGATTGCAGTGGAGGGATTTTTACCTTTTACTTAATACCCCTGAGATCTAGGGGACTTTATCTTTTACGATTTTAATACGTTCTTTAAGTGTTTTTGGTTCCATACTCCTGGACATGGTTGTGTCGTCCCCTTCCCACTGTCCCTTATAACATTTCCCAATTTCCCAAGTTCATTTTACAATCCTAGTCATGTGTCTTGCCCAAGCGAGCTGTGGCTCCTTGGATGATACTGTCCCCTACTGTTCACAGAAGGACACAACAGCCTGTCATGTGAGGCTAAAATCCAGAGGAAAAGAATCTGTAAGACAATGCCATTACCTTTTTATGACAAAATCTTTTGGCTTGACTATTAAATCCTTTTTTTTAATGATTCTTTAATTATTGTTGCTTGGGATTTAAAAGGAATGGAGGATTGTGTTGGATATGCAGCAGTAAAACCTAAACAAAAATAAAATAAAAATCAGTACAAAATAACAAAATGACAAATGAAAAAAAATCCAGGTGTATATTAATATATTAAACTTTTATTTTAAATGGAGCAGAAGAGAAACATGAAACCATAATTTCAAAAAAGCACTCACCATTTTAAAAAAAATCAATACCAGGGATTGAACCCAAGGCCTTCACACTGAGCTACATCTGGAGTCTATTTTTTATTTTGAAACCATTTCACTAAGTCACTAAGTTGCCCAGACTGGGCTTGAACTTTCTGTCCTCCTGCCTTCGGCTCCAGAGTGCTGGAATTACAAACCTGAGCCACTAGGGCCAGCTCTCACATTTTCTTTCCCTTTTGGAATTTACTGGGGTTTTCCCCTGTCCAGACTCACATCTACTGAGATGTGGCCATGTAAGTGCATTGAAGTGGACTGCCGCAGAGCAAAGGAAGGATATGACAGGAAAGTCAGCAGCCTGGAAGAGGAAAAGGGCAGGGCCAGCATCCCCACTCCTCCTGGGCCCAGAGGCAGACACCAGCCAAGCACTGACAGATCCAGAGAGTCCAGGGGTGTCCCAGATTGTGGATGTCTCTCACTTTCCAGAGAGCCATGCAAGAAAAGTTTAAGTTTTTGCTTTGAGCAGACATAGGGTTAAAAAGTAGAAGAAAATCAGGCTTGAGTTTTCTAAGACCAGACTGTGATGTGGATGTACATGTTGTATAACCCCTCCCACTCCTCCCACTCCTCCCCACCTCTGGGAAGCTGCTATGATTGGTAGAACTTCTCTGGCAGCATCCAGCCCCAGAGTGGGGGATCACAGACTCTCACCTGTGAGTGCAGTGGAGCCTGATAGCAATTTAGGCTCAGGCCTCCCCTTCCTTTCTCCCCTGACTGCACAGGTTGATGGGAAGGCCCTGGGGCTCCCTCCCATCACGCCAGCTGGAAGCTCAAGCCATGCAAGCCCCTCTCTCTCTCCAGGGCCACCTTTGTTAACCAGAAGGAATCCCTCTCCAAGCATCCTCCTTGCCCCTCATAGTTAGACTATCTCAGGAAGCCTATCCTGCACTCCCCAGAAAGTCTCATTCTGGGAGTAATAAACCTCCTTCTCCGCCCCTGAGTGTGCATGTGGATTTGCCAGTCCCAACACCCAAGCCAGATTTTGAATGAGGGCTGTCCTGACTCTGGGCAGTCCATACTGTAAGCCAAATTATCTTCACCTCAGCGTCCTAACCCTCAGAGAGAAGTACACATAGCCAGGGCACAAAGACAGCCATGAGAAAGGGGGACAGTATGAGTGGGTGGCAGCAGGGAGTGGTGGGCATGGAAACTATCTTTAAGGCCCATTTCTTAGTCTTTGAACTTTTGAAAAACACAACACTATTTTTCAGAGAGGGAGGCCCAATGCCAAAAGGGGCCCCTCAAGAGGGACTATTAGGAATCAGTTTAACAGATGAGGAAACTGAGGCAGAGAGGGAGAAGTTACTCACCCAAATCACTCTCACAATTGCCATGAATGAAAGAGCTGCAGTTTGAACACAATTTATGTCCTGATCCCAGGCCCTTAAGTTCTTTGCTATGCTTTCTCTTCCTAAACTGGGCCCATAGTAAGCACTCAGGTATGAATGAATGAAATAACAGGGAGAGGGACACTCAGGCCTGGGCTGAGGACAGAGTATTTAAAGGCAGCTGAACATATATTCAGGCAGTAAACATGTGGAGAAATCAGTAAATGGTATGTTCATTCTTTTCCTCCTCATTTAAATAGGCAGATGGCAAAACACAGATGTAGCTAGGAATGGCTTTTGCTCTCAAAGCCTAAATCCGCAGGCCAATGAAGAGGGTTTGCAGAAGAGGTAGTAAAGAGAAGGGGTCAGAAGAGAGGCTGAGGGGCCAGTCTCCCAGGGAAAGGTGGTCTTTTGACTGAGATTGTGATCAGGGCTCTGGCTACAGAGGTGGCTGGTATCAGAGCTGCCCTCTTGATAAGAATAAATTTAAAATACAGAATTTGGAAAAACCCTAAGTAATTGAATCCCTACTTGCAGCCACAATGGGACTGGATTCCCCTCCTAGCTGAGAAACAAAAGCAAAAATGGGCAAAATGTATGAAACAATCAAGACACTGGATATCAGGCAAGGATGGCAGAGACAAGACATAAAGGAGGGTGGCAGTGAGTGTGCCCCGCTCAGTGCCCAGGGAGAGCTCCCAGCCCTGCCCAGTGCAGAGCCATCTGGGGAAGCCATAGTCACCCTGGGTTGAGGAGGTGGCCAAGGAATCCAGAAAAGTCAAGGTGACCTGAGTCCACAGCACTGCACAGAGAAGAGGGCGCTAACTGAGCAAGAGCAGTGGAGCTCTGTGGTGATTCCCTTCAAGTGCTTTCCTGAGCAGATTAGCACACTCAGGGGGAAACTACACAGAGCCTTGGTGAGAACCACCTGAGATAATTCTAGGGAGCAACCCCTGGGGCTCACATGGGGCCAGGCCAGGCACAGCTCCTGCTTCCATGAGTTGTAATGGAAAACCTCCTAACTCATTGTACACCCAGCACACAGACCGGCTTTGCCTCAGAGATGGGGCAGTTGCTCCTAGATGAAATCTGCTCTGGTCCAGCTAATGAAGCTGAAAGGCATGATCTGAAAAGATGAAACTGTTCCCAAGTAACTTACCTGTATCTCAGAGCAAAGCACAAGAACACATAAAGGACTACAGAAAGAGTGCCCAACAAGTAAAATTCAAAATATCTGTCATCCACAAAAACTTCAATAGGTGTATGGAGAAGGAAAGGTATAATTCAAAATGATTAGAAAACAATCAAAACTAACAGAGAAGTTATACAGATTATAGCATTAATAGATATAAACATTGATTATAACCACTAAATCGGCTGTATTCCACATAGAAGTTGGAAGAAATGATTGAACAGAGTAAGTGAAGACACGGAAGATATAAAAGATTCAATTCAAGCTTCTAAATATGAAAGCTAAGTTGTCTAAAACTACACTGGATGAGATTAGACACTGCAGGAAAACAATATTAATGAATCTAAAGACACAAACATAGAAATATTTTTTAAAAAGTGAAAGAGAAAAGGGACTGAAAGTAACAGTGTGTAGAGAGCTTCAGGGCAACTTCAACAAGCCTCTTACAGTAAATCGGATGTCCAAACAAGAAATCGTCCCTCAGTCTCCATGGACCATGTTCCAGGGCTCCCTGAAGAGACCAACATCTTGAGATGTGCATGTCCCTCTTATGAAATGGCACAGTGTTTGCATACAACCTGCGCACATTCTGTCTCATAATTTAAATCATCTCCAAATTACTTAGAATACTTACTACAATGTAAATGCCATGTAAGTGCTTGTTATACTATATTGTTTAGGGAATAATGACAAGAAAACAAGTCCTCGTGTTCAATACAAACACAATTTTTTCAAAATATTTTTGATCCGCCATTGGATGAATCTGAAAATTCAGGTCCAGCAGATGTAGAGGCTCTAACTATATAAGGAGAGGGGAACTAGAAAAAACATTTCAAGGAAAGATGGTTGAAATGTTTCATTTTTTAAAATACTGATTCAGAGATCTAGGAAAGCCAATGGACTCCAGACACAAGAAACATGAAGAATCAAGGCACATAATAATCAAACCAGTTTTAAAAAGGGATAGAAAGAGGAGCCGGGGATTTAACTCAGTGGCTCTGCCACCTGCCTCACAAGCGCAAGGTCTCAAGTTCGATCCCCAGTACCCATCCCCCCAAAAAAGGGATAGAAAGAAAAATTTTAAATCAGACAGAAAAGGGGTTTTTTTTTTGAGACAGGATGGCCTTGAATTTACTAGTAGCCCAGGCTGGCCTCAAACTCGTGGAAGTTCTACTCTCTCAGCCTCTTAAGTGCTGGGTTTATAGGCATGTGCCACCATGCCTGGCAAAAGGCTCATTTTATACAAAGAAACAAATAAAAGAATAATAGCAGATTACTTTTTTGAAACATCTTTAAGGTAATGAAAATTTTAGAAATCCTGTCACCCAATAAAAATAACTTCAAAAAAATAAAAATAAAAATAACTTCAAAAACAGAAGCTGAATGAAAACATATAAATATACAAAAATCAAAAGAATTAATCACCAGCAAACTGGAGCTATAGGAAATGTTAAAAGAACTCCTTCAGGCAGAAGAAAAATGATTGATATCAATTAGAAATCTGGATCTAAAAAAAAAAAGAAATCTGGATCTACTTAAAGGAATGAAGAGCTTGAGAAATATTAAACATTCATTTAAGCAAATATAAAATGTAAAGTTACAAGTATAAATTGATCCACTTAAATAGATATATAAAATCTAAATACTCTGGGAGACAAGTTCAAGCGCAATTGGGACACTTTAGCAACTTAGTGAGACCCTGTCTCAGAATAAGAAATAAAAAAAGGGTTGAGGATGTAGCTCAGTGTGAAGATTTTTGGTTCAATTCCCAGTGCTACAAGAAAAGTATATAATTTTTTAAATAATTGACTATTTAAAACTAATAATAATAATAATAATAATAATAACATATCATGAGATTTATAATATATGTAGAAGTAAAATGTTGATGACAATAGTACAAAGGCCAGGAAGAGAAAAATAAAAGTATATTTCTTCAAGGGTCTACTATATGTGAAGTGTTATAACATCACTTGATGGCAGGTAGTGATAAGTTGAAGTTGTATACTATAAACTCTAAAGTAGGTATCAATAAACTTTTTCTATAAAGGGCCAGATAAATATTTTAGATTTTTTAGGTTATAGAGTCTTGGTTACAACTATTCAACTTTGCCATTATAGAGCAAAGGCACCCACAGACAATAGATAAATAAATAGAGATAGGGCCGGGGATTTAGCTCAGTGGTTCTGCTGCCTGCCTTGCAACCACAAGGACCCAAGTTCAATTGCTGGTACCAAAAATAAATAAATAAATAGAAATAAATGTGTTCCAACAAAATTTTATTTATAAAAATATAGCAGGTCAGAGGCCAGGGATTTAGCTCAGTGGTTCCGCTACTTGTCTTGCAAGCGCAAGGACCAGAGTTCCATCTCCAGTACCCCCCCAACAACAAAAAAAATATATAGTGGGTCAGGGGCCAGAGATTTAGCTCAGTGGCACTGTGCCTGCCTCACAAGTGCAAGGCCCTGAGTTTGATTCCCAGTACCAAATATATATATATTCAGATTTGGCCCAAAGTTTTTCAACATTTTCTCTAAGGCAACCTCTAGGGAAATACTGCACAGAGTTATTCCTAATAATCTAACAAAGAAGATGAAATCAAAGCATAAAAATACTCAATATAAAAAAACTAGAAAAAAAGAACAGATGAGTCAGACAGAAATCAAATCACAATAGACTTAAATTTATACAGAAATAATCACATTAAATTTAAGTAGTCCACATATTCCAATTAAAAGACAGGGGTCAGGGACCAGGGATTTAGCTCAGTGGTTCCACTGCCTGCCTTGCAAGTGCAAGGACCCAAGTTCAATCCCTGGTACCAAAAAAAAAAAAAAAGACAGAGATTGTCAGATTGGATAAGAAAAAAGGCCCAACTATATGCTGCCTGTAAGAAACATACTTTAAAAATAAATAAGTTAAAAGTAAAGAAAGACTTCATTGAGTAATGAAACATGTACTAATAAATTTTTTTTAAATATTTTTTTTGGTACCAGGGATTGAACTCAGATCCTTGCACTTGCGCAGCAGGTGGCAGAACCACTGAGCTAAATCCTTGACCCCAATTTTTTTTAATTTTTAAAAAGAAGGACTTGCAGTCAGAACTTGAGTTTTAGGAAATAAAGAAAGCAAGATCTCTTTCATATCTAAAATTGAGCACAGACATTCCTCATTTAACAACTGAGTTCCATTCCTTACTAAATGAGGAATTGTATATGGTATGTATATTACAATATTTAGAACAAAGAAGTGGTCAAAGGAAACTCCAACTTAATGACTTTGCTTTTATTTGCATAACTCTTACATGCAGTACTGTAATATATAACAGAACACAAAACTACAGTACTGCACAGTACAATCAGCAAAAATCACAGTATTGTATAAACATGGTATACTGTACAAAAAAAGACACTGGGGCTCTATAAACAAAATGTACAGAACTGTACCAAAAAAGGACATTCAAGCTAACATTTTAGCCTCAGTCATAAATCTAAACAACCTTTAAATAGGTATGTTAAACAAGAAATATCTGTTCTATGATTCTTGCCAGATACATGGAAATAATAAGTCTGCTTTTACTCTTTTTTTTGTTGTTGGTACCAGGGATCGAACTTGGGTCCTTGCGCTTGTGAGGCAGGTGAAGGAACCACTGGGCTAAATCCCCAGCCCTGCTTTTATTCTTGAAGACACATGCTTCTTCTTTCCTCATCCTTTCTTCTCATCCTTTCTTCCCAATCATCACACTTGGGGAAGAGAGGCGAAAGGCAATCCATTTGACATGCCTTAAGGATGACCTTGACGATCAACCCAAGGTTTACCATATTCCCACCACCTGTGCTGTTGTATTCTAAAATAAACATATCTCAGGAGCACTCTCTTTCTCCCAGAAGCACATGTTATTTAAATTCACTAGACCTTTCTTTAGTTTATTTGCAAATCTGGAATGTTTGCCAAGGTGTTCAGCTTTCTGTGTAGAGTAGTTCATGTTAGCAAAGTTCTGTGATATGTTCCATTTGTCTGACAAAAACCTCTGCTACATGTTCTTCTAAGCACCTGAAAGAGAAAAATAACAATATTTATAGGTGAGATAGGTAAATGAGGCCTGACCCTCCCCTTTTCCCTCTGATAGCCGGGAGGTGGGGTGATCCCACTGACAGCCATCATGTTCTTCCCCTTTGCCACCCCAACGGTGGCCCTGGAGTGGCAGCCCCAGTGCCTTCTTGCCAGCCACCTCTATAGTTCCCTCAGCAGCAGCCTAGGTGCTCACTCCCAAAGTCTTGACAGGAGCCCCAGCTTGACCTATAGCTGTGATAACCTTCCCCTCTTCCAGGCCACTATTGCTGCTTCTGTAAGGAGTGGTGAAGGACCACATCTAACAGGCTTGGGCCCATTACTGAATCTCCAAAATCCTCAAACCCCAATGGGCCATGATCGATGCTGCTGCCCTTCCTGGAAACTCCTTCAAAGCAGTAGCAGTAATGATTTAAATCCCACCTTTTTTTTTTTTCCAGAAACAGGAGCTGTCAGTCAAGCAGCTATTTCTCCATAGTTCTATAGAGCTGTCACCATGACAGCTGAGGCTGCCCCAAATGCCCCATGGCCACTGCAGGAGGTACTGACCTTAGTCACACTTGGCTTGACACATGGACCTGTCCTACATGACCCTACCCTGAAACCTCTAGATGACTTTGCTCCCCTTTGTCACCATTTCAGAAGTGCCAAATAGGCCCACAAAATGCAGGAGACTGCAGACATGGTCCCACTTATCCTCTGTATAAGTAGTACTACCCTAAGGTCCCTGAGTCAGTCTAGAAGGGCTCTGTTCCGTACACTACCCTCCAATGTTGCAGCTTAGGTCCTGATAAAAGCCTTGCTTTTATTGTCCTATTGCTTACTCATGATTCTTATTCTCACATAGCATAGGCTGAATGGGTTACACTAAAAAGAGCTAGTAACACTAGGGGTTATAAGCCCTGAAGAGCTCCAGAGAACAATGGAGAGCCGAGAATGACAGAGAACAGTGGAAACTGGTAGAGACAAGCAGAGACCTGCAGAAACCTTCAGCGACCTTTGGAGACCAATGGATGAGCCCTAGAGAGACAGCAAAGGCTGCTGGGAGAGCTTCTTAAAGCTGATAAGAGGGCTGAGGACACTGGCTGCTGAGGAGCTTATTGGATGGACAGGAACCACAGGAACTATAACACTAAGAACTAACACTAACAGCTAAGAGGCACTGGCCCTCAAAGCCCAGAGCTGTTAATATCAAGGGAGTTGCACTTTGTGCCAGTTTATGATTTCTATCCAAAGTCAACAAAAGAAACCCCCAGATAGGCATCATTTCACACTGTTGTTACCATGATTTGGTTCTGTTCTGTCTGAAGGCTAGACTGAAAAATCTTGTGAGGTAGAGGCTGAGATTCACCAAGTTCTATGATATACCTCCCAAGTCCAAAGGACAGTGTGTTGTCTACAGTAAGAACTCTGCAACAGTTCACTGGTGATATTGCTCACAAAGTGACTGAACTGTTTAATTTTATTTTCATTTTAATCATTTAGCTTTACTGAAAAATAATTTACAAATGATAAAATTCATTGGTGTCAAGTGTACAATTCTAGAGCCAGCTGACTTTCAAAACCTTCTCCACTTGGAACTTCCCCCAGATGCCTAATTTTGCTCTTGCCACCTGTATTGTAGCTGAGTATACTGCTTCCCACACTGACCCCAGTGGCAGGAAAAAAAGTTCTTGGTAGTGGAGAAGGAAAATGGCAGAGTGGTGATGTTGTGGACAAGTTAGAATGATAGAGATGCACCACACTCTGTGCCAGATTCGAGCCCGTTTATTATAGCTGGGGGCTGAGCAGGGGCTAGAGCCCAGAAAGTTCTCTTGCCAATGGGAAGTGGTTTGATTTCTCCTTTTAAATCATGCTTTCAGTTGGGGAGGGGTCAGGGGAGAGCAAACAGAATCTTACAGAAGCAGAACCATCCCAGGTTAGTGAGGGGAGCACAAGGAAGTTTCACACACTAGGTGAGCTACAAAACATCCTGCAACTGCAGCAAGTTTACTGCCAAGCAGGATGTAGGGGTTTTGGGTGCTTTGTTCAGGCACAAGCACTTTGTCCAAGCACAAGTACAAAATGGCATTGAGGCACAGCATGGTGTCCGGTTCACTATCACAGTGACTGGTAGCAAAATTCACCCTCTCTGATATCCAGAATCCAGACACTGGAAAATAACAACTTGGGGAAGAAAAAAACAATGGATCACTTAGAATCAGGAAGGAACTGACCAGAAAAATTAGAAGCTACAGAGAAGTTGCAAAGATGGTACACAATCCAGAGAAAAGAATGAAACAGTCTGGACATTCTTCCCAGCTCATGGCTTGCAGCTCATGAGGAAAGGAACCCGGCCCCCTAGAAACAAAGTAAGCATCCAGGGATGGGACATCTGGGGAAAAACAGCAGTGGAGGGACCGGGGAGGTAGCTCAGTGGTGCAGAACCTGCCTGGCAAACTCAAGGCCCTGAGTTTGATTCCTGGTACTGAAAAAGAAAAATGGCAGTGGAGCACACAGACATTATGAGCTCCAAAAACATAGCAAGGATTTGCTCCAAGGGGACTTCTTCAACACAGCAGGCAACAACCAGAGAGGGATTCAAGTAACAGACACCTTCCCTATCACCAGAATATGCTTAATCAGGCACCATTTCAGGAAGGTGTTGATTATTTAAATCTGGGACTCAGAACAACTCAAAAATAACTTCACTTCAGGACTCCCCATGTTACCCTCCCACAGTGACTGGGTGAGAGACAGCCAGAGGAGATAGCTGCAGACAGGGAGTGGACTAGAAAGAGATCTCCTGAGAAGTTTAAACTCAGGCCAGGAAGGCCCCACCCTCCATGATGAGAAGCCAGGCCCAGCCTGAGTTGTGCTCAGAAACAGCTGGGTCTGAAAGTGCATTAAAGTCTGGAATTGTGATGCCTCCTACCTTGTTCTTGTTGCCCAGGATTGCTTTTGCTATTCTAGGTCTCTTCTGGTTACATGTGAATTTGGGGATGGTTTTCTCTAATTTTGTGAGGAATGCTATTAGTATTTTAATTGGAATTGAATTAAATCTGTGTATCAGATTTTGGAACTCTGGCCATATTGACTATATTTGTTCTGCCTATACAGGAACAGTGGTTATTTTTCCATTTTCTGTTGTCCTCTTTGATCTCCTTTTTTTCAGAGTACTATAGTTTTTATTGTAGAGGTCTTTTAGTTCCTTGTTTAGATTAATTCCTAAGTATTTAATTTTTCTTAATGTTATTATGAAAGGTATTATTTCCCTAATTTCTTTCTTGGTGAGTTTATTATTGGTGTACAGGAATGCTATTGATTTTTGTGTGTTGAATTTGTATTTTGTTATGCTGCAGAATTTGGTTATTAATTCTAGGACTCTTCTGGTGGAATTTTTTTGGTCTTCTATGTAGAGGATCAGGTCATCTGCAAATAATGACAATTTCAGTTCTTCCTTTTCTATACACATCTCATTTCTTTCTCTTGCCTGGTTGCTCTAGCTAATTTTTTGAGAACTACATTGAACAGTAGTGGTGATAGCAGACATCCTTGTCTTCTTCCTGATTTTAGAGGGAAAGCTTTGTGCTTCTCCTCATTTAATATGATGTTGGCTACTGGTTCATCATAAAAGGCTTTTATCAGATTAAGATAAGGTCCTTCTATACCTATTTTCTTCAGGCTTTTTAAAATCATGAATGGATGTTGGATTTTGTCAATGGCTTTTTCTGCATTGAGATGATCATAAGATTTTTGCCCTTGCTTCTTTTTATTTGACATATTGAATGTATTGGTTTGCATATGTTGAACCATCCCTGCAGCCCTGAGATGAATCCTAATTGGTCATGTTGTATGATCTTTTGATGATTTGTTGCATCCTCTTTGCCAGTATCTTGTTGAAGATTTTTTCATCTATGTTCATTAAAGAGATTGGCCTATAGTTCTCTTTTTTGGTTGGGTCCTCTTCTGGGTTGGGATTTAGAGTAATGCTAGCTTCCAGGAATGACTTTTGGAGTACTCCTTCCCTTTCAATTTCATTAAAGATTTTGAGGAGTATTGGCATTGGGTCTTCCCTAAAGTTCTTGTAGAATTTGATTCTTATAGAACGGATTCCTATGAGTCCAGTGGGACCTAGGCTTTTCTTAGTTGGAAGTTTTTTTAAAATTACTTCCTGAGGGGCAGGGATTTAGCTTAGTGGTTCTGGCATCTGCGGTGGAAGCGCAAGGTCCTGAGTTCGATCTCCAGTACCAAAAGAAAAAAAATTACTTCCTGAATCTTGTTACCTGATATTAGATTATTTGGGGTTTTTATGTCTTCTTGGCTTAGTTTTGATAGTTCATATGTATCTAGGAATTTCTTCTAAATTCTCCATTTTATTAGAGTACAGATTCTCAAAGTAATTACTAATAATCTTCTGGGTTACCAGAGTTAATTCTGACTTCACTTTTTCCATTTCTAATTGCATTGATTTGGGTCTTTTATTTTCTTTTTTGGTAAGATTGCCTTTAGGCATACTTCCTATTGTCCAGATGAAAAGTACTTGGGTTCTTCTTAATATTTTCAGCAACCTCACTCTCAAGGGCACCACAAAATGTTCACGATGCATAAGGCTTTGTTTTCTGGGGAAAGTGAAAACTTTTAAAATAGATTTTTGCTCCTGTTTCTCAGTGTAAATCTTGCTAAAAATCACCAGTAGTACCCAAGCTACAACCTGACCACTGGGCTGCCTTGAAATTTCCTCTGCCAGATAAATTACTCTGCTGCCCTTAATCTCAGTCTCCCACAAAATCTCAGGACATGAGAAAAATGTTAACAAATTTTCTGCTGGAGTATACACATGGCCTGGAGACCAACTGTCAATGGAGTCCTTATTCCCAACTGAAACTTCTTGAGTCTGGCTTTTACTGTCTGCATTTTTATCAGGACTGTGGCCAACTGATCTCTGATCAGAATCTCCCATAAAGCTCAAC